ACACGAGAAAATTTTCTTTTTAGTAAGTTATTGATGAAACATGTTTCTTATTGTGCGTGAACGCTCAGCGAACTATCTGAGTTATGGTTTCTGTGATGTCACAAACAATCACATATCTTAACTTATGAGATAACAATGGTGTGGCGTGAATAGTCTCTCGCCGAGAAAGTAAATATTATTTTATTTACACGCGGAAAAATTATTTGCTTTGTGATAGTTTGTTGCTGGGGAATACTCTAGTGTTGTGTACATCGCTAACCATGGTCTTGTCACTTTAGAAATTGTCATTTATATACCATAGTCTGGGAGATATATTCGGCGTCAACAACCCTTCTCGCAATGCGGACGGGTTTGACATGTCGCCTACCGACTGTCAAAAAAATAATCTAACCAACCCCATAACGTAAATCAGGGGTGTGCAACCTGCAGCCCACAAAGAAAAATTGTGCGGCCCGCAGAGAGGTGGCAATTTTGAATGGTGTGCGGCCAGCGAAACAAGTTTTTAATTTGGTTCAATCTGGTACGCGTAAGTACTTCCTATCCGTTTAGCGTTGCAAAGCCTATACCTGATGCATATGAAGCTCAATGCTCTAACACAAGAGTGGGCAAGGTTTTTGGACCAGGGACCAGACCCACCTAGACTGGCGGGCCATGTAAGTGTGACGTAAAAAGTTACATTTTATGGATAATATTTACAGTGTTACAAAAGCAAAAGTGGAAAACAATAAGCTCCGTGTCAAAACTAAATCTGAACGCAATCTCAACAACTTCCTTGAGCTATTTTTCAGCTAAAACATCAAAAGTTGATTTTAGTTTGGCTGTGGCAGCATCAGGCGGGCCAGATCAAATTACCCAACGGGCCAAATTTTGCCAGCGGGCGTAGTTTGACCATTTTAGCTCTAACAGCTGGCTCGACAACTTTTATGCATGCAACTATACTAGAAAGTCTATGTTGAATAGAGATGCGCCCCGCAGTTTGCCCAGTTATTCGTGTTTGGCCGGCCTGTATTAAAGGTTGAACACCTCTGACGTGAATATATACAAGAAAAAATATGCAGGTTGACCCTTTCGACACCCGATGTGGACAGGTAATCGGACAAGACGCTGTATTTCGTCATATTTATTAAATTTCCTTTTTGTCCCGGAATAAATGAATGAATGAATCCTACCCCATCCTACTGCAGTTATCCGGTGACCGTACATTTGAACTCGTACATTTGCAACCGCATATCCGCGGGTTCAATCTATATGCGGGTGCTAAAACCCATGGGTTAGGGTTAGTATGGATTCAAATATCCGTAAAATAAATCCATAGGTGCAATAGCATGCAGGTGCACTTGTCGTGGGTTCAAATTACGGGTTCAAATGTACGTGGGTTCAAATGTAATGGAACCCAGTTATCCACTTAGCCGATATCGATCTTGCCGGGACTCGTGAATACATTGTGCCATTCGACAGTGGTTTCAATCTTTTTGGTGGAACGGAACCAGAAGCTCGAGGAACCCGTATGCGATAGTTTAGTTGTCTTTTACTGTTTCAATAATTATGAACGCAAAACTAATACTAGCAAAACTGGTCATTTAATTGTAATAAATTTAATGTTAGTGGAAAACGATTAGATATTGCAATATATTTAAACAATATGTTTAGTTTAAACAATATATTTATTTAAACAAAATCAATGTAGACTCTCAGATTTAGATGGGAAATTGCGGATTAGTGTCCTTGACCAGCAGTTTCCAACCTTTGACCCCCTTTTTTATCATTCCAAAGGTATTCATAGTGTTAATTTTGATTGATAGATTACACAACCCGTCATGTTCAAACAATTCATGCTCAACAAAGTCAAAAAACATCCTGGGAAATAGGAACTAGAATGAGGAGGAATATCAGTTTGCGCCGAGTATTGTGCGTCCCGTAGGGGGTCACGGGCCCTTGGTTGGTAACCACAGCCCAAGACTGTACTAATGGCGGCGGCGTGGCTCATCGTGCTGTGCGTTAGGAATACGCTCGCCACCGCACCTCTAATTACTCTGCGTGGGTTTGCAGGTTCGAATCCCATGCAGGGATGGTTATGTGCGAGAGAATTGCTGAACTCCTCGCCGTCTAAGGGTGGTTCACGTAACCGCTGGTCGGTTACGGCTTCCTCCCCCATCAAGTCCATGCTTCCGAAAAACAAGCAACTAACTAATCCCATACCCGACATAGAATGGTAACAGGACGAGAGGCCGTGGTTTGCCATATGGATAAGCCGTCTTATCGGCTTTCCTCTCTATCGGGATAAATATGTAAAGCTTATTTTAGCCTACTTTAACCCTGTGCAGTGGGAACCTCAGTTAAAAACTACAACCTTACCAAATATTAACCATTGCAAGATGTGTTTATTGAATACGTTAGCTTGCGCTAGAGTGGTGATTTTTCAAGACGATGAAGTCTGAGTAGACACAGGGGATAAAACTTTCAAACCTTTAAGTGGCAGGAATTTCAAAGTCATAGTCGGGTGGGGATTTTACCTGAAACATAAAAAAAAACGGAATTTAGGTTTCCGAAGTAAACATTTGTATCCCAAGGTTTTTTCAGATCAAAAGACGTAAGATTCCGGATTAGTTATATATTTAAAACGGTTCCATTACATTTGAACCCACGTACATTTGAACCCATGACAATTGCACCTGTATGCTATTGCACCTATGGAATTTTTTTTGTTTCACGGATAGTTAAACCCATACTAACCCTAACCCATGGGTTTTAGCACCCGCATGTAGATTGAACCCGTGGATATACGCATGGGTTCAAATGTACATGGGTTCAAATGTACGGTCACCATTTAAAACTGCAACCCGACACTCTAAATAGCAGGAGCAGCAGAAGTTGTGCTGTTTTTTTAGAGCAGTGTTTTCCAAACTTTAATACTGCGGACCCCTATTTGTCAATCTTAGTTTTGACGAACCCCCACCTTATACCGTATCAATTTCTGTTCCTAATCAGCGAGGAAGGACAATGTTTTATTTACAACACGATACAAACGACATATGATGGGTGAGGTTGCTTTTCGCTGCACAATTTTCGGAGTAATCTATGGCACACAAACTAGGTCCGACTCTATGGCAAGTCTAGAATTTGTAGTTTGCTATCGTATTGGTGTGTGCTGAAAATGATGTGTCACACATGCAGGTCGTTGCAAAGCGCAATGCAATCCTACCTTGACAGCAAGAAATAATCGTTCACAACGCTAAATTAGAAAGATACAATGACATTTTGATTGAAATCAATCATTAAAGTTCGATCCGTATCTTTTTAAATCGTTGCGGGCCCCCTATGCAGTCATCACGGATCCCCAGGGGTCCGCGGACACCAGTTTGGGAAACCTTGTTTTAGGGTAATGTAATTCCTACTATCACAACACAATTATTTCCATGTTATAGCGACGCAGTTGTGACCTGTATTTCACGGACACACTTTTGCGAATGCCTTCCACTCATTATCCAGATCTGGTCAAGCTTATACAATGACTTCAACTAGAAATGGGTAATTAGATCTTTTAAATTTACTGGACCACAGGTGACAGTTTTCCATTGCGGAATTTAGAGTCCTATAATTAATCTCGCTCTCAATGGTGAGCAATCGGTGCGTATGACACCAATCCGAGCCGCAAAACCGATTATTTGCTTATTTTATCATGCTTTCTGTTGTTCATTATGTTAAGATAGGATTTACATAGTTATCCTGGCGAGAGGAAAGCCGATGGGTCGGCTTAATCATATTGCTAACCACGGCCTCTCGTCCGTTTACCAGTCCATGTCGGGTATGGGATTTGCTAACCAATTATGTGTTGTCAAAACATTAACTTGTGAGGGCCGCGTTTCGCCATTCGATTGAGTCGCTTTATGGGCTTTTCTTTCACTCAAAATAAATAACAATTGTACAACAACTTCAATTGTTTGAAAATACATATATGTTGTAAATACCGTCCACAATTCAAATCCACTAAAGTCGTATGATGTAATATGGACTCCCTGCACTCGTCGTTCAGCCACGGACATATTACGTCATATTATTCGACTAATCTGTCATTGTCCGTTGAAAAATCGATGTAAAAATCTATAAAATAATATTCAAAATGCATTTAAACAAATGAGAAGGCTTAGAAACTGTCGGAAGATCTGAAAATTATCGATTTATTTCATTACGCAACACGACTCACTTTGACCCCCACGCTTCCGACACATCTCAGGGGTCAAATGAAAGTTGCCAAATGTGCGCTGTGGTGTTTCTAAAGCGAGATTACGAAATCAAATTTGCATCAATAAGATAGGATTTTTATTTTATTTATCCTCGTAGAGAGGAAAGTCGATAGGACGGTGTGCTCATATTACGAATCTCTTGCCAGGTTAGCAGAGGGAAATCGAAATAAAATTCACTTACATTTAGGCCTACATGTTGATGTTTCCTGGTGGCCTATGCTGGCGGCTGTACCGGTATGGCAATACTGCAATGGGTGACCATGTTGCATGTAAACTATTTGACATTGTTGACGAAATAAAATACTACTACTAGGCTACCGGTACATATCAGTTCCAGTTATTAGTACAGTAGATGCATGGTCTTGGAACATTCATAGCGCTATCATGCCACCAGTAGCAGAGAATGAAATTATACGGTATAGTACGGGGGTACCGGTAGAGTACTGTAGTAATATCTGAATGTCAGCACAGGCAGTAAAAAATGTAGAATTCTTGTAATATACCTAATTCTAATTCTGTAATTACTGAATTAGACTGAAACTGCAATATGCACCGTACTTTACTGTCATTCTGTCCTTATTTTTACTTATTGAATAATATTTGATCTTGGAATATTGCAGTATTGTACTAATTTTTAAAAATCCAACAAAAAAGGCCGTTAATTTATTGAACTTTGCCGAAGTGACTCGAGTCGCCTAAATAAAATGACTCAAACCTAACCTTAATCTAACTTTGCATTTAAAATATTTTTCGCAGACAAATAACTTTCAATCATGTATAGATGTGGTAGGACGTGCAATCACGCACGAATTTTCGTCAGAAATTTAAAGAAAAATGAGGAAACATCACAAAATATATGTAAGTAGTTTTTTGGTTTTAAAGTGTTTTGGGATCAGGTGTCACAATTTAAGCATAGCTGAAGCAGACATTGAGAATATTTTTATTCTGCGTCAAGTCCAAGCCATTTAAAAACAACTCCAGGTTGACAGCAAATGGTTGTTTATAAAATTTCTATGTATGATTGTAGATTTCGCACATTTTGTCATTTTTGCAAATTAATTTTTGCAGTAATTGTTGTTGTTTTGATCATTAAATCCTAGTTGCATAATTCATGCACAAATATTTTTGGACATATTTGAAGCTATACCATAGATTTAGACAGGAATTATCGAACGGGGTTTTGAAATGGATTGTAAACGCCAGCAGGACCGGCTTTCTTGAGGGTCTAAAAAGTGTTTCAAACTATGAATAATTGCCATGTATGATACAGAAAAATGCTTTTTTTTACATTCCAAAGTTGAGGTTTCAACCCTCATTCCCCTCCCCCATTATTGAAACATTGATTTCTACACAGTTGGGAACACTGTCTTATTAAACTATTTTATTTTTTCAGTTTCCAGAACATACAGATTCACTCGGAAAGAGCCGGCAAATCGTCTACAGCTTTACTCCCATCGTTCATTAGAGCTTCCGGCTCATATCGGCTCGCTATTATGTATCGGGACTGGAATGATATTTTTTGGAGCTGTAAGTGGATTTTTATAGATTAAAAACTAGGTCATGAGCGCAAAGTGCATAGGATTACTCGGAACAAGGCTCTGTGCAAAGATCTAATAGAAATTGGAACAATGTTTCCCGAAGTCGCTAGGCCGGGGCCCAGAATTAAAAGCAGAGCAATCTTAGCGTGCCAGGAGAGGTGCCTGTAAGGGAAACAAGCGGCTTAAACTGGGATAATGATCCAACAGTTGCCAGTATCTAAAACACCAAAATGTAAGAACATAAAGTGTTAAACCTGAGTTTGACGGGCCATATTGGATCATACCACAAGACGTAATTGACCCACTGGCCGTGGTTTGGGAACCACTGGCTTAGAATGACCTGAATTATTCCAATTCTATCAGATTCAAAATTATTTATATTCAGTATTTATAATTCTACATTTTGATTTTGGGAATAAATTAATTTGATAATTGAATTGCTCTATTGAAATCTCAAGCTAATATTGAAAACGCCTCCATTTTACTTTCTTCTGAAAATTAAACATAGTGGAGCAGTGGAATGAATCATTGTTTATTATATATCTGTTGAACATGAACCAATTTGGATTATATTCGATATTCAAACATGTCGTTTTTGAATGTAATTGAGATAATTATCTTTTGCTGACAACTGACAGCATACTTTACATTCCAGGCCGCTTTCCAATGTTCCAGCGAAGCCAAAGCTGCAGAAAAACAAGAAGATGATGAAGAAGCCCAAACTGAAGAAGGTGAATTCCCAGATACACCAAAATATAATTAAGTTATTTAGATCAGGGCTTCGCAAATTTTCAAGCTCCTGACCCCTTCTAATATATTAAAATTTTCTGCCAACTCTGTTAAGTCGGCATTGTTGTGCAGGCTGCGTGCCTCTTCTCCGATCCTATGTATTCTCCCGAAATCGTGATAATTATGTTTTGCACTATTTTTAATAATTGTGTTTCGAATCAAAATTAAAATAGATATTGACTCTATGTGAAATTGGTAAACTTTTTGCGATCCCTAAAATTGATTGCGCGACCCCCAGTTTGAGAGGTTCTGATTTATACCAAATTGAAGTTGTTGACACCGGAGTTCCATAATAAACTCCTTATTGCTGTAGCCAGAATAATATTAAACTTCATGGTACGGCTCCACAGTCAGGTGTCCAATTCCAACGCAGAGTTATTTCAACATTGACCTGGGATTCTACTGTAAATTTTTTCCCTGACTTCTTTGTCCTGGATTGATATATGCCAAACTCAGGCTCATAACATCCTTCAAATTCTTCATTTTTCTAGGTCAAATGCCCCTGGATTATCAGTGTTTTGCAACTTATAAGTCGCGACCCGAAACTGGGTCGTCTGAAAATTTTGAAAATAATATCTTAATTTTTATCCAGAGCCTGTTCTTCCAGAGATTCCAGAATCAACACAATATTTATTAATCGGAGGAGGAACAGCATCACACTCAGCCATGAGGGCGATTAAGAAGAGAGATCCAACTGCAAAGGTATGTCCAATGGTACTCCTGTTGTATGTGAACCAAGATGGCAGACACCGGAACGTAGTACGTGTACCATGTTAGAGTTAGGCCATAATTCCAGGTACGCATACTACGGGAGTCACTTGGCAAGTCCCTGAACTCGTATTAATAGAACTAAAATAAGGACAATTGGAATAACATTTCGGCAATACCCTAACCTGGACCACATACTACGTTCTGGTGTCCGCCATCTTGGTTCGCATTCTACGGCTACGGGAGTACCTGTTCAATGATGTTTGTTCTGAATTAGACTCAAGAAAAGCAGATACTCTTGCTACTGTTCTGGGCTTTATAGTAGTGGGTGTTGTCATTGTCATATACACAAAGCAAAGTCACACGCAATCACTGACCAAATTATATAGGGTTATAGCGGTGCCGGAAACTTCTTCAGGATTTGAACTTGTGGGCCGCAAAGTACTCTCGACTGGGTGTGCAAAGTGCGATGGATTGGTGGTTAGAGCTGACATAGGAAAACTACGGCCTTTGGATCAAATGCGGCCTGTTAGGTGACTCAAACTGGCCCGCCTGATGCTGCCATGAATTTCTGCTTTCAACAAGTCTTGCATGCACTACGTAGCTGTCATGTGCGGCTATGCGCATCCTTAAGTTTCAATTTAGTGCTGACAAAGTTTTGTTAAAGCCCCTATAACACTCTTTTAATGTTCTTCTTTGTTCATAGCTTACACATTCTGTTCACAAAATGTAACTTTTTACATCACACTAACATGGCCCAGATGTAATTAAGTTTGCACTGCAGGCTTGCACTGCAGGCTCACAGCCTAATAAAATTGGAAAGGCAATGCCAGACCCGAATGATTATGTACTTAATTAAAGGTGATAGCTTCCTGTCTATCCCTGGCAGCTCGAGCAAAGGCTTGCTTATAACAAAACGGCTTTCTTAGCGCATGATAGCCATCAGGTATATTCATGTCGAAGATAAATAAAGCGCAACCGGTGTTAGCAAAACGATGAATTTGCAGGCGTTTCAAATTTCTTATCAGAACGTAGCCGTCATTAGGACCTGATGAAGTGTTCTAAATAGAAATTTGAAACGTTGGCAAACTATATCGTTTTGCTAACACCGGTTGTGCTTTATTTATCTTCGACAAAACAGCTTTCTGGTCAAATTTTGTATCTTGTTCAATTTATGTTCTCTTCCTGCCATGATAGGAGTAAAGTCATGAAAAATGTTTGAAAAACACTGTTTTCTACAATTTTACTCAGATTCTCATAATAACGGAGGAAGAGATGCGACCCTACATGCGCCCACCACTTTCAAAAGAATTGTGGTTTTCCGATGATAAAGAGGCCGCGAAGGAATTGCAATTCAAACAGTGGAACGGAAAATGGAGGAATCTATTCTATGAGGAGGAGGACTTCTATGTCAAGCCCTCGAAATTACCAACACTGACCTCCGGTGGTGTTGCTCTTTTAAGAGGAAAGAAGGTGCACTATTTATTCAATTAGTCACATGAGTTTTGTGTTTTTTGGTAGAGAATAGAAATTTTTGTCATTTATTCAACTCTGAGCTATTTTGCTGAAAATGCAGTAATCTCATTATTGACAATTTTTCAAATTCATTGAATATGATACCCGCTACTCAGATCTGTCTTAAACAAGTTGAATAAAATGAGTTGATATTCAGCCAAGGAGATTCTTGATTTGAGGAATAGAATTCTATTCTAAAAACTATAAAATAGTAATCCAATGAAATCATTGATAGGTATTTGTATGTCTGTTTGTCTGTTAGATGCACGCGATATCTCACGAAAGCGAGATTGAATCTGCTCCAGATTTTGCATGTGCATTCATCTTATCTCGGACCAGAAGCCTATTGATTTTGGGCGAATTATGTCGTATAATTAGCGACTTATTAATTAATTAGTGATGGGACACAGTGTGTCACTATGGAGTAAGAGCGCTGTTTTGGGGATCCCCTAACTTTCGATCGATAAGTCTTCGGTCTCTGACCGATATTCTTGTTTATTTTGGCTTGCCTACGTGTTGCCTGTGGCAAGAGCGCAGCCAGGAATTTTCAAAGGGGGTTTGGAATCTGTCAAGCTAGACCGTAACAGCTAGCAGATCTGCCCGGAGGACGGAATTGTGGGTTTCGATAGTCTTGTCTTGAGGGTCTAAAAAGCATTTCAAGCTGAGAAAAATTTCTATGGTGTGTTCCTATTCTTACATGATACTCTGATATCCATATCCAATATCAGTATATTTGCTGCAAAGTAGTGCTTCATTGATTTAATATAGAATGAAATTTGACTCTTTTAAAATAAAATGTTATAATCGAAAATGTTTTACTAACTATTGGCTCGTTTCCTCCACCAGGTGACAAAAATAAGTCCGAAGCACAGTTCGGTGACGCTGGACGATGGAACGGAGATCAAATACGAGAAGTGTTTAATCGCAACGGGGGGTGAACCAAAAAATTTACCGGCTTTTAAAAAGTTGGGGAATAAAACTACACTGTTTAGAAAGGTGAGGGGGTGAATTTATTCAAGATATATTCTAGTAAAGTAATGTTGAGGTCATCCAAATGAAATGTCTCAGACCTATCATCACATGACTGAGATCCAAGTCTGTGGTCGAAACTCTGATATTCTGTGACTTGATCCGACTCTCAACGCATAGTTTAGGTCAGTGGTTCCCAACCTTTTTTAATTTGTGTCCCATTTCGGAGGCTTTTAGTACTCATTGCACGCTTTTCATGGTATTTATAGTGTTTATTTGATTGGAAGATTCCAAATCTCATTATGTTCAAATAATTAAAGGCACAAAAAAGTGAAAACACCCTGTGAAATAACCTTATCAAGCAATGAAGCTAGTCCATGCTTTCGAAATAAATATTAACCCACGTTAACCCACATATCTTTGAACATTCACACAAAACATTAACCCTCTTTCTACCTCCAGGCTTCTGATTTCGTTTCGCTCGACGCCATCACGGACAATATTGAATCAATAACTGTGATTGGTGGAGGATTCATGGGGAGTGAACTTGCATGTGCTCTCGGACACAAAAGTGGGTCGGGGATTTCCCCTCTTTTAAAAACTAATTCTGTTTCAACAACAGGACTGCTGCTCTTTGTAACTATGATCCGAAATGTCAATACGATATTTCGGACACCGCTTATAATTTTAGTACATATTGTAAAGTTGACAATACAACTCAGTTCAAAGTCAATACATCGATTAATACAGATTAACAAAACCACACACTAATAATGAGCATGCTGCCCAAACAGTAAAAACAGAAAACAAACACAATAGAAAATTATTCACGCCTGAGCGAACATGATAAATGAAGCAAAACGAAAGTGAAAGAATGCAGTGCTTGAAATGAATAAAGCAGAACAGTAACACATATTATCTGATTTCGCTGTTCTCACTATTAGTAAATCCGCATTTATGCATACTCATTTATAGTTTTCGTCAAAATTTGGTTTTCTTCATAGTTTAGAGCAGAGGAGTCGGTATTTTATTCTACTCAAAATCAAAAGTCAGGTGCAAGTTGCTCCTGAGACCCCACAGAACTGTCTATAACAGGGTTTCTTAAACTCTATGTTTACGACAGTTCATATACCCAATTCAATAATAATTGGATAGCTCATACACCTAGTTTTGGCCAAACTTTTGATTAAATGAGGTGCGGCCTGTGCATGAGTATACGCTGGGATTAAAATAATGCGCAGCAGATGAAGTCCCTTTAGTCTAGGGTTGCCATACCGTCCGGACATATCCGGAATTTAGGGTTAAATTTTTCGTCCGGGAAGAATTTTAAAAATGCTTAAATGTCCGGAATCCGGAATTTTACTGCATCTGCAATCGTACTGTGCACACTGCTAATACAGAACATTGTTATTTCGTAACAATTTTGTGCGCATATTTTTACTACGAGGTCATGAAAATAGTCATGCACTGTCTGGAATTTTGCTTTTTCAAATATGGTGACCCTAGTATAGTCCCCATTATTCTTCGCTCGCCTTCGCACCTCTGATTACATACTCTATGGGTTCGCAGGCTCGAATCCTATCTGAGGTAATTATGTGTGAGATGATTGCTGGACTCCTCGCCGCCATAGGGTGGTACCAGTTTGTTTCCCAGCTTTTCATTTTACGATGGCTTCCTCAACCATCAACAATTGCTTAACTAATCCTATGCCAGACATGGGCTGGTAAACAAACGAGAGACCGTGGATCGCCATATGATTGAGCCGTATTATCCGCTTTCAACTTTTTGGAATAAATATGACTAAATCATTATATAAGAATATCTTCAATTTGTAATTCCTACAGGTGCTAAGTCCGGTTTGAAAGTTCGACAAATCTTTCCCGAATCTGGCAACATGGGCAGAGTGTTCCCTGAGTATTTAACAAAATGGACAACAGAGAAAGTTCAGAATGAAGGTGTCGAAGTCATCACTGATTCCGTTGTCAAATCCGTGTCACGAGATGGCGCTAAAGTGAAAATGACTTTGAGCAATGGGGAGGAGGTCAGTTGATGTCCACTATTCTTCTTTTGATTGAATTTGATTTTCCTGGCTATGTACATTGGGCTAGGCATTCAGAGCACCCTTTCAACCACATCTCCTTGGCACAGGCAAACCAAGGCAGTAGGCCAAATCTGACTCGTTGGTTAATTCAATCTGGCCCGCCACAACCAAATAAATTTTGATGTCTTAGCTAAACAGGAATTTGTTCAGATTGCAATTCAATCTAGTTTTGAGGCTTATTGTTTGCTTTTGTAACACTATAAATAAAATGTAACTTTTTATGTCAAGCTTAAATAGCGTGCCAGTCTAGGAAGGCAAAATTTTTGGCTCTTGGTCCAAATGGAGGAGCCCACAACTGCTATATCCTCTATGATCCAAGTCTAAATCCTGCTCAACTAATTTAGAGCATTGATCACATTAACTTTTGGTATGTGAATTCGATCTATTAAATTTTTTCGTTTTTTTAGTCAGTCGAGGTATTTCATTATTTGCTCATATTCACACTTAACTCAAAAAGAAAAGAACTTAGCGCTCTCTTGATTAGCGAATAATCACAAAGCGGGAACTAAACGCATGTTAGGAATGTTTGAGACAATTTTCCCGGTATAAATTAGTTTTATATCCACTTTTCCACTTTCAGTTGAAAACTTCAAAAAAATTTCGTTTTGTTCAAAAGTGCCCAAAGAAGGTTATAAAAGTATTAATTTTAACCTCAGATTAACTTTTAGTGTGTCCGTGTTTTATTACTACTTTTTATCATTTTAGTTGGGGCATAGGGGGGGTGGGGGGTGGGATTGGGGGCCGAGATATAAGGCCCACTTATGAGCCTTATCTTAAAAAAGTTGACCCGTCAATACTAAACACGTCCCTAACATATCAATTTGTTTAACTCTCAGATCACCACTGACCATGTAGTTGTCGCAGTTGGTCTTGACATCGACACGAGCCTTGCAGAATCTGCAGGAATTGAAGTTGATGAAACGCATGGAGGGTACAGGGTTAATGCTGAGCTACAAGCCAGAAATAATATATGGGTGGTAAGTAGAGGGTTAGTTTTGTGATAACTAGTACAAACTGTTTGCTCTCATGAAGCTTTCTATATTTTTTATTGTTTGAGATTGTAACAAATCGCTTTTCCCATGAACCAATCATTACTTATCGATCTTTAGATCGGTAAGTATGTTGATAGGTATTTGTCTGTCTGTTTGTCTGTTAGATGCATGCGATATCTCACGAAAGCGAGATTGAATCTGCTCCAAATTTTGCATGTGCCTTCATCATATCTCGGACCAGAAGCCTATTGATTTTGGGCAAATTATGTTGTCTAATTAGCGATTCGTTAATTAATTAGTGATGGGACACGTGGTGTCACTATAGAGTCATGAATCAAAACCAAGTTTCGACCGATATTCTCGTTTATTTCTTATTCTTTCAGGAGTTAAGCGCCTTCAAATATTCAATGCTTAAAGATGAAAGGAGTGGCTAAAAATATGTCCATCGATAAGAATTATAGTGGAGCATAACTGTTAAGAAACACAATACAAAGTCTTTAGAATGCGGACATAATAGCTACATCCTGTGACAAAAATATTTTTAATGCTTGGGTCAACAAACCATGTGCATTATATTTGTCCCTTGAGTTAATTGATTACGACAATTAAATATGGCTTCCTATTTGGAAAATCTGAGAATCCAAAATCCAGGATTTTTTGAGAATTATGAGAATTTTCATTTCTTGTGTACACGGAAAATCTAATTTTTTTGGTTTGGCCCATCTAGATGTCTGAAGTTGGTTATATTGCCCGCTAACTAAAATGTTACACACCTCTGACTTAGAGCAATACCACCCGGGTTTGAAATAATGACCTTATGCCAAACTCCACTCTATTCCAGGCTGGTGACGCTTCCTGTTTCTACGACATCAAGCTTGGCCGTAGAAGAGTCGAGCATCACGATCATGCTGTTGTCAGCGGAAGATTGGCCGGGGAAAATATGACGGGGGCTGGAAAGCCGTACTGGCATCAATCAATGTTCTGGTGGGTAACATTTTATCAATCCTGTACGAGTGTGTGTTGCTATGTCTGTAGGACAATGATGTTTTTTTTTAAACTTTTCTCAAGCAGCGATTCTTTTTTAGAATTTGTTAGGTCTCACACCTCACCTCAAAAATAATAATTAGCTACAAATAATAACAGGTAGGAAGGCGATTTATTTATTCAACAATTTAGTGGGACCAAGTTTTGGGATTTTGTTAACATCACCTTTGACAGAAGTTGTAGCAACCTCTATTGACTGGTCAAATGTTCATCAGTCAGCTGACAAGAGAATAGAATGCGGCTATCGCTTAGCATTACAGTAATGAATGCACCGGACAAAATGGCGGGAGATTTAACGCAGCGACAAGAGCAAAAAAAAAAATTGGGGGCTCCCGAAGTATGCGAACCATGATGGCGGACATCGGAATGTAATATGTGAACTAGGTTAGGGTTAGACCATATTTTTAGGTATAAATACTACGGGAGGCTCTTGGCTAGTCTTCAAACTGATAATAGGACTAAAATAAGGAAAATTGGAAAAAAATTATCGCCTAACCCTAACCTGTTACCCGTGTTACGTTCCGATGTCCGCCATCTTGGTTCGCATACTTCGGGGGCACCAAAAATTGTGTATTTTTATCAATGTGAGGGCCTTTTTAAACATAAACTGTTAGATTGGAATTTTATGCTTGATGGGGAAAATCAGGAGCGTTGAAAAGAGCCACATATAATGGCTTGGTTGGCGAGATTGTGGCTCGACGACCACCTGATCTAAGCAAACTTTTATCAATTTTTTAGGTCAGATCTAGGGCCAGATGTTGGTTACGAAGCCATCGGGCTTGTTGATTCAGCTTTACCAACAGTCGGAGTGTTTGCCAAGGCAACAGCTGAAGACACTCCCCGTGCTGCTGCAGAAGCCAGTGGAGAGGGAATCCGATCTGAGCAAGGTAGCTGAAAATATTTTTGTGTTGAGAGATCTTTAAACCACTGAAAAGTCGTGATAAATGACATTTTTTTCTCTGGGGTCTCAGGCAGTGGTTGTGTCCGATTATGCGACCTAAAAAAAACATTTTTATATCGCGTTACTTTGGAATTTTGATTGTCTGCCTTAGATGAAGGTAAAAAAAAGATAATTCTGGATTATTAAAACTCTTAATTGACTTAGCCTCTTTCATACCCAAAACTATGAACTTCCACTATCTGCCTGAGGAAAGAAAATGCTTCTCCTTGAAACTGTTCCAAATCTTTCTGTTGTATTTATTTATATTATTTTTACAAGTGTTTACATGGCCATTTCAATGAAATACCTTTCTGACGACGAAAAGCGGCCATTATGAGGAATTATTCTATAATTATCTTGAAAAGCATTCGAATACATTGATATTTAAATATTCGATTCGTTTTGGACAAACAGCCCTGAGTATACATTGAGTGGATGTCACCAAACCAGGAAGATTAGTAAAATTGTTAGTTGTATCCTGGGGCATAACCAGGGAGTATGCGTGTTGGATCCCTCTTTGGAGTGTAAAAGCAGTTGTCTGTGAAATGTAAAAAATATTCATTTTTCGGTACTCCTGAAGTATGCGCACCAAGATGTCGCATAACCTGAACCCTAACCTGGTACACAACCTGATTTCAGGTTGTGCGCCATCTTGGTGCGCATACTTCGGGAGGTCCCATTTTTCTCTATCATTCATAGCAATTTGCCGTAGCTTGAAAAAAACCTGAAAACTCTTGAAGACACATATTGATAACCTGCTAGCTGCTACGGCCTAACTGACTAATTTCAGATACCCCATTTTGAAAATGCTGGTCACGTCACTGTCTGTATCAGTGGGTTAATATAGAAAACCATGTTTAGGAAATGTGTGAGAATATGTCAAATTTTTTTCCTCTACAAACATTTTTTCTGTTTTGTAGATTCTGAAAATGTTGAACAAACGCAATCCATTCCAACTTCTGAAGAGAAAGAAGAATTTGGGAAAGGCGTCATATTTTATCTCAGAAAAAATAAAGTTGTCGGAGTTTTATTGTGGAATATTTTTGGGAGAACCGGAGTTGCTAGAAAGGTATGTAGGGAGTTCCCCCTCCTCGAGTCAATTTTTTCTAATTTAAATAGCATGTTTGCTCCAGACAAGTCTCTGTCTAAGCCAGGGTGGTCCAAACCCAGGCCTGCCGCTTCATTATCTATGGCTCGCGTCACATTCGAAGAGTAATCAAAAAATCGCATTTTGTGTTGTTTTCGTAATAAAATTAATCAGAAAAATCTTTTGACATATTGTAACATCACTAATGTCACTGAATTGACTAGTGTTATGGCTAGCCGAGGCAACTAGCGAAGTTGAATAATGTGCTTGGCAAGTCTAAATCATTATCTGACTTTCTATCCTTTTGGTCAGGAATTATATGCTAACAATGTAGGCATCATAGAAAATTAAAAATCGAATGCGGCTTCTATTAGCCTGGGTTGACTATGCCTGATAACTATGTGTTTGCACAATAAAAGAGCTTGTTTTGTATTGCACTGTTTACCCATTCTTGGCACTATTGAGGCCTGCAAACAATAAAAAAATTAATTTGTGGCCCGCGGAGTTGACAACATTGGACCACCCTGGTCTAAGCTGTAGCATAGGCGTATTGGGATAAGGAGACTCCCAACCCTAGTTGACCTATTGAATGTCCTGAGAAATACTCCGGGCTGGGATTTCCAAGTCAGGGAGGAGTGCTGTTGTAACACTGTTATTGTCTAGTTCAGTGGTTATCAATCGGTGGCGTTTTTTGAGAGAACCGTGAAGTTAATTAAAAAAAAAGTTTCTGTTAGATTTGATCTTGCCTGCCTTATTTTGGATATTTACCTTTTTTTTTATTTTGGAATATTTATGTTCCATCCGTGTATTTTCAAGATGTTTTTTTTAATAAAACATACTTTCGCCTTACTATCTGTTATTTGTAGCTTATTGTTAGCTAGTTTTTTTTAGGTGGGGCACGAGACTTTCTGAACAAATTCTGAATAGGTGGCGCAGCTTAAAAAAGTTGGATACCACTGATTTAGTTATTCACGATTATTGTGATGCGCACAATATAAACTGTGCAAACTGTACGAAAGCCTTCTTATAAGTTGTGGAAAACACTCATGGCGTTCTTATTCATATTGTGGGGAGTTTTGAGAAGGCAAATTGAATTGCATCAAGTATAAAATAGACAAATGGAGGATTAATTAAAAAACGTCATGAAACACTGCTTTAGACTTTAGATTAGTTGACTCGATGTCTGAAATTTAGCGAATAATATGAACCTTTACCATCTCAATAAGGAGTTTCTTTCACATCTGAGTGAGGAGTGTGCATTGATCAAGCCCATGCTCTGAAATAAATAACTATTTAACTATTCTCACACCCAACATGGACTAGTAACCGGACTAGGCTGTTGCGCGCAATATGATTACAGAATTATATACCCTTTGCTCTCCCAGACCAGGATAGAATTTAAATATTTCTCCCGAAGAGTGGAAAAGTGATAATAAGACGAACTACGGCATCTCTTCCAGTTACCATTCCATGTCGAATATGGGATAAAGAATCGAACCCACACACAGTAATCAGAGGTGTGGTGGCGAGCGTATTCCTATCGTTCAGCGCGATGAGCCACGCCCTCGCGCCTAAATTTGAAATTCCTTTTCTGATAAAATATTCTTCTTTCCTAGATAATTCGAGACCAGCAGGAATATGAAGACTACAGTGAACTTGCAAAATACATCGAGAAGAGTTTGAAGAGTAATCTTCTGCTGTCAGCCAATCAAAATAGTTTATCTATAATGTTCAAACGCAATCAGAGTTTCAGAAAAACGCTATTTTATAATTAGGTAATGAATAAGCAAAATTACTTAAATTCTTGAGAACCAGAAATGGCCGAAATTGTATATTTGCTCTACTTTGTAATAATATTTCTGAATATGGAATATCGAAATAGATTCTAAATAGGATCGTGTTCGAGAAAAACATAAAAGTTAATATACATACATATGATGAGTTGGAAAAATTCTCCATATTCTCAATACTTCTTGAAATAATATTTTTAAATACGAGTTATCGAATATGTTCCGAGTTGGTTTATTTTCCACAGGAAAATATGCTGGAATCCTTGAAAATTTGAGGAAATAAATTTAGCAATACGGTTAAAATAAACATTGTTAAGATTGATTTTCTTTTTTATTTAATATTCAGAAGTTAAATGAAGTCTGTTTTTGTCTGATCATTAGATGTAAAATTTCTTTGAAAACAATGTGTTGTATTAGACTATCTCTATACTCAGATAGATATTTGGGGGAAGTCTTATATCTTTCCTGATATCTAGGAAATTTGACTGGCCCTCGAGCCAAAATATCACATTTTCCATGATCCGTTCAAACACTTTTAAATCCTCAAGGTTGATATTATTATGAACCTGAATGCCTATGTATGTTTCCGCTCTCAATCTTTTGCCAATTCACTTCATTTCCGACTTCAATTGTAACAAGCGTTTGCCAAAAGTTAACAAAAGTAACCCAGAACATAGCAGGAGACCCATATTTTCTACAAGCAATCTGCTTCAGGCCAGATTTGCGCTCGAGATATTTCCACGAAAGTATGAATTCTTCCTAAATGCCCTCTATATATTTGTGTTTGAAAACCAACTGTTTCAATTATGATTGTGAACACTTATTTTGCAAAATGTTCCCTTAAATATTGTGTGCTGCTTTAAAAGCAATGTTAATTCGTGATGTGACCTGATGTTTCAGGAACACTGTTTTGTTCCTCTTACTATTCTGGAATAAATTGAAATTTGGCGATTAAGGTGTATTATTTTGTGCTTCCGTGGTCTTAGTTCTTTGATTCAATGAGATTCTTAGCATGTCATGATAATCTGGGAAAACTGTTTTTGTTCAGGCACTAGATCAGAGGTTCCCTAACTTTTGGTGTTGTGTAGCCTGAAAGACGTAGTATAATATCACTTACAGAACCCCACAATAAATTTATAAAAATAAAATATTTGAATTGTTGCCTTGTTGTCACATTTCGACGCTACCATTGTCCAATTTTATTAATATGTTATTGCTTCTTTGGACATTTACAAAATAAACCAAGTCAGTATTTTATTTATTAAGTAAACGAATAGCTCGCGGAGTTCCTTGGGTTTTGCACGGAGCACTTTGAGAACTGTATAGGTATGTGGAGCGGATCGTGTTAATGTGGCATACGCACTTAGGATAGGATTTATCTTGAGGGAGAGGAATACGGCTTAAGTACATGGCAAACCACGAACTCTAATCCGGTTACTAGTCCAGTCTGGTTCAGCCAGATATATGTTACAGACTTTACAAAATGGGGGAGCTTTTTGAATACTAGTACTGATTGCAATTCTAAATGTTGCTTCATACATATAAAACGATAAACTGGTTTTGTAGGATTCTTGCGCTGTTTGGTGTATTCCAAGAAGGGCTGTATAGTGGAGGATATTGGAGTTGAAATCATAATTTTAAATTCATCGGAGCTGAAATTTTGATAAATTCAAAAGAGCGCCAACTCTTAAATCTTACCTGATGATTAAAAAAGCATAGATACCTAAGCTTCAGTTATCAAAGTTTGGTTTTCTCGGCGGCTATAGTTTTGAAACAGAGTAACGCTCAAATTGGAGATGACATTTTCGTCAGCTCAGTGTCTGGTCGTTTTATAAATGGCTCAGAGTATTCTGTGGCAACTTGTGGTTCTTCATATATATGCGTATGTAGCTATTATAGACTGAGAATGTGAGGACGAAATTGTGTCAAGCTATTTTCGATTCTAAACAATTGAGATCGCTGGACGTTTTCCCCGCTGTATAGTCGAACTGCAGGTCAGTTACCTATTTGAAGTTGAACTTCCCTCAGCGGTACCTGAAATACAGAGTCGATTATCGGCTTTCTCTCCCCTTAAATTGCAGTGTATGGAAATTTTATTCTATAAAAACTGCTTGAAGAAATTGTAGTTCATTTCTTACCTGAAGACAACTTTACTAAACTGTAAGCCTTATGAGGATGATTCGGCGCTACAGAAGTGTGTGTACCAATACGGAGGTAACTGATTTTGTTCGCCTAACTTACATCAAGTTGTGTAAAGAGATTGAAACCTATGGGTAGGGGGTATATTCACTTGGCTAACACAGAGAGTCATCGAACTCGTAATAGAACTAAAATGGGAATACAATTATGGCCTAACCTAACCCTAATCAGGGCACACATACTACGGGAGTACCAATAAATCAGCCGTTACCAGACAGTGAATCTGGTAAATCATAAAGCAAGATGCAGATTTGTAAATTTAGCAGCAAGAGGCTGAAACTCCCAACATGAGTGTCTTCTAGTTTCTTGGCATCGTTATGAGTGAAACGCGATGGCACTATCAGACGGAGTTTGAAATAACGCTGGTTCCGACAAGCAGCCCAACTGTTTCCTTACTCTGCCCAGGACACATATACGCACAAAACATATCTTTTGAACCTTTTTAATTCTGATGATAGAAATGTACAGAAAATGGAATGAAACTCGAAGAATTCATTCCCGATTACAGATTCTCTTGGGAAGGTTGGAGAAAGTTATAATCAGTCAAAATCGACATCTGGGATATTCGTCAAAACGTATGTTTATTGATCAGAATATGCTATTATTGCAGCAATATCTTGACCAATACCTATGTTGGCTGAGCTATTAAAATTAGATTTTCGGGTTCGGATTCTGAAATGGCTAGGTTTGATAAAAATTAATGACATTTGCAGAATAGACCAATATCTAATTTTATTTTTAACAGATTTTATCTATTCAAAATAATAGATAGATATACAAACAGGTCGGCCCAAAATTAGGTTTACGGTTTCGATCAAACATAAATACCTGATTAACTACTTTTGTATTACTGATTGATACATGTACTCTGGGTTGCAAAAATGAGAAAGGTTATATTCAATTGGCTTTTGTTGCTGCTATAATAGGAGCCGGAAATAAATTTTCATATTTCCTGGAGCAGGAATGTTTAACTTTCACATGTTGAAATCGTATATTGATCATCCAAATCATCTTTTTTTGGAGCGGGGGGGGGTCGAATCATTGACTCGACTAGACTCAAATAACTCGAGCCATCGTACTGAAATGTCGAGAAGGGTAAAGTCATTGATATTAATAAAAATTTTCGACAGACTGTATATAATAATCTATATAATAATACGCAAGGAGTTTTTAAGAAAATTTAAATATTTTTAGCACGCATGAGGCAGCACCATAAAAGCAGGGTATGAATTAACAATATTTTTGACACAAAAAATCTTTTGACTGCACTGCAGTGATAGATTTATCTTGCCCAGAACAAGGAAAAATCTGCTAGAGGTGGAGATATCAACTTCAATTAACAGATTTCAATTTCATAAAAGGGCAAAAATTATGCGACTCAAATTCTTATCATAGATGAATATTCCCCCAAAAAAGGCAAAACTCAAAAAATCTGTTTTCAGAGAATGAAGAAAACTTATCTTTTTTTTAGTTTTAAACTTTTGTAACTTTTCATTCAAATATTACTTCAAATTATGATTCGATACCAGTTTAAAAAGCATTTTTTTTTGTAAATAATTTCCAAACAACATTTTTTCAGAAATTTCAATATTTGCCCATGGTTTGGAAACATTGTCCACTTATCATCAATTCATCTTTGGAGAAAGAGGTTTCGTGCGAAATCTCAATTGTAGTCTTTGAAATGTACCATATTTATAAAATATGTAAAATACAGACAAAATAGGCGGAAAGAGAAAAAGTTGTAAAAAGTGAAAAATGAGAATAAACAACAAAGGAATGTCGGAAACAAGTGAAATATAGATAAAAAAATTTATATACATTATTATATAATAAACAAAACTTATCAATTGTGATAAACCAATAGAAATTCATTCTTGTCTTATGACATTTTATTTTATGACATCATTGTTGTTGCTTTAAAACTAATTGTTAACAAGGAGAGATGAAAATTCATAAAAATTCTTTCTGGATTGCATGAAATACCACCATCTTGCGTCTGATACAAATACCTAAATACTAACTGATCCCATTTCAGACATGGGCTGATAACCAGAGGAGATGGCACCTTATCGGCTTTCCTCTCCCCCCCAGAATGAATAGGAATCTCACCCTATCCTACCATATAATACTGAGCTGGCAAAATATGGACCATGAATTCCATTAAGGAACAAAAAATTAAAATATAAAACAGTAACTTGGATTTGCTACAAATTATGGCAGCTTAATAAAATATATCTGTAAATGCAACAACAATAAATGTAGAGGCAGTATAAATAAGCACCAATAAAATATCATTTCGAACCTGTAAATTCACTCATCCATGCCAACTTTCAAAAACGGAAAGCTCATTTCAAACCCTGCAATGTTACTGTTAAGCTCTGCAATATCATTCATGCGAATCTCAGACATTTAGATCATGTAAAAAAAAAAAGCTTATTTCATCCCCTGCGTAAATCTTTCAAATTTGCTCAAAATAGTAGAATTGTTTCATTTCGAGCACTGCAAAATCATTCAAGGGTTTGCTTTGCTTAAAATTTCAGCCAAAATGTTCAAATCTTGATCAAATTCAGGAATATAATTATTTGTCTCTGGAACAGAGTTCATCATAGGTCGTTGCACCTGCTCAGGGGTTACTTGAGGTCGATGCATGGGGTTATGTGGGTTCGTTGACGGCCATCCCGCACCTCTAGAGTTCCATGATGGGTGAGGAGCTGAAATTAAAAGAAAACATGATGAATATAGAGGAAAATGGCTTTTTCTTTCAACTTTCTAGATTTTTGGAATGATCGATATAATTAATCAGTCAAATGAGAATGACAAGGGGTTGTGAAAGTTAGCAGGGATATATTCCATGTCCACCACCAGAAGCGTAGCTAGCGAGTCTTTAAAAAGCATTCTACAAGCTGCTTGCTATGTATGATATGGATTTTTTTTTTTCAAATTTCAAATAGATATGATACACACCAAATACCCCAACTGAATACGCGACATAAACAATAAGACTTCAAACTAGCCAACTAACTGCGCAAATATAAAAGTGTGTCTTGAATAAATATGAATAACTTTGAAAATTTGATTTGTTGACAATGTAGTAATATCGCAATTTTGAAAAAAAAGGGTCCAATTTGTAATATATCGAAATAATGAAGTCATAATACTCGTGTACTATATCACAATATACTGGAGGCCAACATCCCCCACCATAAATACTGAGTCCCCCCCCCCCCCCCCCCTAAAAAAAAACAAAAAAAACACAAAAAATGACTCACCATTCCCTGGGAAAGGAACATTGACATTTGTTGGCAGAACTTGCTGTGAATGTGGTTCAGAGATTCTGAAAGAAAAGACAAATATCGGTTTTCAGTAATCAGTAATTATTTTATCACCAAGAAATACACACTGTACATACAGAATGAGATAAGAAAAGAGAGGAAAATAATGAATTTCAGGGTGAAAGGGGACGCGATAAACCAGCATTCGTTATCGAGCAACGACACCTATGAATAGTCTAACATTGGGTCATACAAGAACAAGAATCGAACTAAATATAGTACTAAAGTGAGGAGTCGGACGCCAAAATACTAGCATTGGCATAAATATGTTTAGAAAAAGACCGGATATTTCCTAAGCAAACGACTCCGAACTGGCAGATAACCATGACAACTACAGCACAAATACGGTAACTTCAAAGTGACTGGAGCACCATATTGCGAGTTGGACGGTACCAGCACTGTGCTGATGCATGGTTCATAAAAGCAACAGAAGCACCACTTTTGCTGGTGCTCCCGAAGTATGTGCACCAAGATGGCGCACAACCTGAACTATAATCTGGTACACATACTATGTTCAGGTTGTGCGCCATCTTGGTTCACATACTTCGGGATCTCCCTTTTGCTACCAAAAACTATTCATACCAGTGGTTCCCAGAGTTTATTGACTACGAGCCAAAAAAAGAAGCAGAAGAAATATTCAGAGGCCAGGAGGGAACGATACTTATAATTAAGATACAGGTATGATTGGATAGTTATGAATATACACACATGAATATACACATGCCAGAACTGTGCAAATGATGTAGCAATTAGCAGTGTTTAGAACAAAAAAATCAAAATAACATGAGGTGTTAAACTATTTCACTCAAGTTCGACGGGCCATATTAAATCGTCACGTTGGCCCGACGGTTTGAGAACACTGATTTATAGGTTTCTATGCGTATTGTACTTGCCTTTAATAAGTGCAAGTAGCAGCACTAATAGCGAAGTTGCTGAAATAGACTTCAATTGCTTGAAAAAAATTGGAAACAACAAAACTTTCGTTTGTGTGAGAAAGGGATTTTCATTTTTACCTGCCATAATAAGGGTGTGAATTATTCTGCATGTGTTGTTGTCGCATCATAATTGCTTCTTGTTGAATCGATTGTTGCATCATCATGCTGGAACGTTGGGTTTGAACGAATGGAGCCGGACGACTGTTGAAAATATTTAAAAAAATCATGGAATTTGCATGTAAAACATGTTGGTTATCTTTAATTTGTCTATCTGCTTAGAGCAAAGTTATACACACTGACTCAAAGTAAAGTAGACTCATCTCTGAACAAATATATGGATGAGCACTGCAATGCCAAAATCTACTGAAACCATAGCCTGTATGATTTAGAACGATTCACCTTTTTCGAAAACTGACATCCTGATCAAAGAACATTCTTGAACAAGGCAAAAAGCCACTAACACATGAAGAGCTACGATTATTACTAGAATCTTTCCAGGATAGCAAAGCCCATAGAATTTATGACACTGAGTAAAATGTGAACCTGAAACGCGAACAAAGATAGGTTCGGCGCTCTAACCAATGAACCATCATCCCCATCAACCCCCTAAGACAGGGGTGGGCAACTTCTCTAGTCGGCGGGCCAGATGTGGGAAAATGAAGTCCTTGGCAGGCCGGATTATAACATGAATAGTATTCAATATCTTATTCACATATTTATTCGCTAATGCAAGAAAGAAAGAAAGTTATAAATCGCGTTTAAAATAAGTTTAAACTACAAAATATAGAGACAGTACAGTCAGCGGGCTGGTCAAAATCTCGTCGTGGGCCGTATGTTGCCCACCTCTGCCCTAAGAAGTATCTTTTCCATCTCATTAATGAGACCAAATTAATTTACTTGAAGAGGGCTAACAGACTTGCTTGCCAACTCTGTCCATCAGCAGATAAACAAAGGGGGTCTTTTCTTCGAGACCATCAATAATTAAAAAAAATGAAAACTAAAACCCTTCACAAACTCACCCGTACATATTTGAATCCATGTGTGAAAGTCGTTGGCCACCGGGTGGCATCTGATGATGACTCTGTAGATTTATTTGCTGACTCATTGATGGAACTTCAATATTCCCTCTATAATCTGAAAATGAATTCGAAGCATGTAGTTTTGAATATCTGGGAGAGGAAAGGCAATAAGATGTCTTAATCAGCGCTGTGGAATTTAAGTCAGGAATGTTTTTATTGATATTGGTAGTAAAAATTTTCTCTGGAGTCAAGAGTCAAAATCAGACATTCAATATAAACCTGAGTTCAGGGCATAGTCAGGAATTTTCAATGGGAGGTGACCCCTGTCCGAGTAACTTTGAATTTTCCATAAATTGTGGTCCAACTCAAGTGGAGTCGAAGCTGCCAAACACATATTAAACAAATATTTTTGATAGCATTCTCAACGAGCGATTGAAATTTTTTTTCATATATGTTGGATTTTCTTGGAGCTGGAGTGGGTAGCTACAATATCTTCCAACTTAAAATTGGGGCTCGAAAACAAATTTTTCTTAATTGGCAGTCGTTTTTTTAATGGCTCAGACCTTTTCGGAAATGCAAGCAGAAATTGCATGAAATCTCTCCTATTTGCATTAATATAATATCAACAAGCTATTACTTACGTGGTGGGAAGTGTTGGGTTGACCTGGGGTCAGAGGGCATGTTTACTGACCCGGAACCGCTCATTGAACCATATCGTGTCTTCTCCGCTAATTGTTTCAATTGCTGGGAATGAGATTCATAGTAGTTGGCTTGAGACTGGAAGAACAAAAGTATTAGAAACATAAATGTTAATAATTGAATTCCAGCTAAATTGGAAATTAAAATTAGGTTATTTCAGAAGCCAGATAATCAAACACAATTTTCATGTTTCTGAGATTTGTCATTTTCACGATTCAAATATGATTTTAAGTGTGGCTGCGTGATATCAACTACCTATCTCTACTCTGTGCCTTTGCGCTGGTGGATACATATGATGCAAGGATGCTGTAGCATGAAGAAAGATAATCATTCGATGTCTATGTGCCTTGCTACACACTAACACAGATGTATGTGCACTCACTAAGGAGTAAAGGTGACTCACATCTGAGCAAAGATACGGCCACTGAAATGCCAAGAGCTACTGGAACGTTATGAAATTATGGTGGTTCACTCACTTAAGAGTAAGAAAAACTTATCTCTAAGCAAAATTACGAGTAACACTGAAATGACAAGAGCTACAGAATTATGCATTTGAAAATACTCTTACCTGTGGGCCATGAGAACCTGCTGGTGGATGGCACAATCTCGGGGGTTCAGGAGGGGGAGCCTCGTGCGGGGCAAACTGGGCCACCTGGTTCAGTCTGGAATAAAAAGTTAGATAATAGTTGGAGGAACATATAATATTTCGAATAACTAATGTACCGGATCAGCGGTGACAATAAGCTAATGCATGTGCCGCTTATCATTGAAAAAAGTACATCGCAGTTAACTTGCCCTATTGATTTGGTTTTAGTGAGACTAATTACTTATCCTTCTTCTATGCTTTTGCATCGACGGCTCCCTATGTTATAATACAAGGATGTGACTAATCTAGGTGATTAAAGGATCTTGCCGCACACTATCACGGACATTTACAGTGTAGTACACCGACAGAAATTCATTTTTAACATTACGTCTGACCAAGATAAATATATTGAGAGAATGGGATGACTTGGGGACAATTAAAAGGTATTGCTTCCCCTGTAGCAAAAAACGAGTCAAAATTTTTCTTCAACCTCAAGAGTTTATTAAAGTCCAATATATATATAAATTAAACACTCTGGTACGAATGCATACCTTTGTATATGTTGACTCGTCATACTGTTATTCGATGGCATCTGTCTCCCACTAGTGGCATAATTATTTTGTTGTTGTTGCAGAGTTGACATATTCAGAGAAATATTCTGTTGCGACGATAAATTTGCCGAAAAGTTGTTTCCTCCCACACGCAAAGATTGTTGAGTCATGATATTGGCGGAAATATTCTGCTGACTCATGCTGTTCTGACGAGGCAATCCGATATTTTCCTGCTTATTTTCAGGCTGAATTAGAAATAGAGATTTAGTAAGATAAGGAGAGGTAAGCTGATGATATGTTATTAATCTTATTGTGCATGGTATAGAATTGGCAAATATGTTAGGATAGGATTTGCATATTTATCCCGGGGGAGTGGAAAGGTGATAAGACGACTTAATCATATGGCGAACCGGCCATGTTTGGGTATAGGATTAGTTATTTGTTTTTGAAATCATGAACTTGATGGTGGAGGAAGCCGTAACCGACCAGCGGTTACTTGAGCCAATCCTATGTAGGCTTGGGAGTCCAGCAATTTCATTTTCAAAAATGCAAATGAACTCTAGAAAAAAGAATAACTATGTCGTGGTCCATCCTGAGAACAATCAAACAGAAAATCACTAAATTACCGTATTTCCTCGAAATCCTGGGAACATATCAATCTTTTCACTTTTACAATACATTTTCGCATTTTGTTGCTGTTGCATCATCTGTGATGTCATCGGTGGTGATGTCATATGTTGTCCTGGTGATGACATACGTTGCATTGATGCCATTTGCTGGGACTGTGATGATGTCATATGCTGTGTTTGTGATGTCATTACATGTGATTGTGATGTCATATTATGAGTATATGGTGATGTCATAGGCTGTGACTGTGATGTCATAGATTGTTGACCATCAGGAGATATGATGTCATCTATTATATCATCGTTGATGTGAGACAGTAGTTCATCAAGTGTGTTCTGAAAAAAAGTTCAAGGTCATTTCTCAAGGTTACAATCCTATTTCAAGGTCATAGTACTTCCAACTGATTTAGAAGAATCTGCAGGAGATACAAAATGTGTTCCTTGGATCTGGATGAGTATTTTTATTCGGATGTTAAGTAAACATTCGTAGACAAGGGACAAAAATAGTGAATTATTCTTTTTTAGCACAGCAGTTCTATCATCACAACAACTGCTTGCTTAGATCCTTTAGCAGAGAGGAAGAGTAAAACAACTCATGGAAAACTAGAAATCTTGCACTATGCTAGATGCTTACCATGTCCAGGTCAAGATCAAATCCACTTAGATCGTTTGAATCTGCTGCCCCCGGTGGGCATTGTTGCTGTTGTTGTTGGTTCTAGGAATAAAGTTGATCATTAATTAAAGAACAGAAATTCCAAAACTGCCGTCGCTTGATAATTTTCGAAGTACATTGCAAAATATTAATCCACTTGCTTAAACAATTAGTTGATATCTGCCCACATTTATGAAATTGTTTGAAAATGATCAAATCTGTTTGAAGTAACCTCGAGACTAAGTCTGACAAAGGCTGGTGATATGAGACATTCAGACATGCATTGTGCCCTGGTTATGTTCATTTTTGTGAAAAAAAAAACTAGATCATTTTAAATAGTATAAAGGTTTTTTGTTGTAATTTAACACGAAAGGTACAAAAAGAAATTTACATCATGATTTTGCAAAATTTAGAACATTGATTAGGTAATTTTCCAACCAGGGTTGGATTAAAAAATCAACATTTCGAGATGCACACATTCCAAGCGATATTTACCATATTTTGCTGACTAAGTTGTTGCCCTTGGCGATTGTCATGCACCATTTCTTGCTTTATATTCTTGGGGCCGACATTCACACTGACAGATTGAGAATCTGAATGTAAAAAATATTTATAGAAATGTGCTCTTTCACAGTGCATTGCGTGGGTTCACAGGGACCATGTCAATTCACCAGATAAAATGAAAATTTACAAATACCTGACCTCAAAATACATGGAATTGACATCCTAATACGAATATGACATCATAATAATAAAACAGAACATCATAATACAAATGTGACATCACAAAGATAAAACTTGACATCATAATAAAATATGACATCACATATACATATGATTTCACAAATCAAAAACTTAAAACCATAATGAAGACCAGCCTAACGCACTTTTAAAAATTAGCTTGTTATTTTGTAATTTTTTCAGAGATATATAGCTGAATAAATTATGACTTAAACTGCACATACACTATATGCTCGATTCACCGCCCGATCTTGATTAAGGGCCCGTTTGAATAGCCGACCGTGTGAACAGAACATAAAAATAAATAAGGGCCGATGCTTGAATACCCGCCCGATGTAAAAGCTGATTTTTCAGTGGTAGAGAACAATAGGAAATAAGAAGCGCTTTTGTCACAACGCTGTTGAATCTTAATTGCCGGTAGGTAACACTCAAGCCTTAGGTGTCCAAGTACATAACAGATAGCATTGATTACGTAACACCATGGTTCTCAAACTGGGCGTCGCGTGCATCTTTTCAATATTGATAAGGCATCACAAAACTTTTCTTCTTTTGCGGATTTGTACCAGCGGTACGTGGAAAAAGTCAAAATTTTCGTTATTCTCGTTTAAATCATACTTGAGAACAGGAAATAACAATATATTAATTATTGTAACGATCAAAAATTACGAGCGCCCGTGCTTGAATAAGGGCCGGTTTGAATAAAGACCCGGGCTACAAAACGAGCAAATACGGTAATTTTTTGGGTTACAAGAGTTTGAAAATCATTTTATGGGCCCATCATGAAGTTAAGACCCTTGCTCTAATGCAGCGGTTCCCAACCTTTCTACCCTGGCGGACCGGTAAAATTAGATTAAATGTACTCGCGGACCGGCAAAAATTGAAATGGCCGTAACAGAAAAGAATAACATATATTTGCGTCTTATAATGCAATGTCGGGCACTCAATATGCTTTTAGACAAAAAAGCACACTTTAAAACATTTCACACGAAGAATAACTATCAAATAATGTGCCGACCAAAAATTAAAAATGAGTGAAACATAAAATAATACCATATATTTGCGTAATGAAATGCAGTGCTGGGCACCCATTATGCGTGAGAAAGGCACGCATTAAATTCTCACATTAAAATAATGCACAATTAACTTCTGTGAGAATTTTGCTGCTGTTTCGTTTCCAATACAAGATTGCGAACGAGGCAAAGAAGTTTTTGCAACACATAGCTCTGCAGCCGCGTGCAGCCGATTTCCTTGCCTCGTTTTAATCAAAGTGAGGTTTTAATTGAATCGAGTGATGAGAATGTTTTTTCGCATAACGCAGTAACTGGCTGAAAAGACGGACCACAGTTTGATTGCTCGATTACTTGGCGATGGGTATTCGTTATCAAGAGATATCTAAAATTGTGATAAGTAATTCTTTTTCAATCTGGACTGTAAAGAAGAATCACAATTTTAATCAAGCCCTTTCTTTTTCATTGGGTTCATAATATTAATCCCTCTGCAGTTAATCGACGCCTCAAACGGAATGAATTTGCATTACAATGACAAAGTCGTCGATAACTTGGCGACAAGCTCAAAATCCTACTGTGTCTGGAAAAGATCTCTGCGGCTCGTGCTTTTTTTTGCGTGTATCGCGTGACCACCTGTGGGGTCGCAACAAGTTCATATCTTACTGGATTATTATACTGTTCTTGACTGTTTTCTAGTTTAAACAAGGAGATATCCATTACGTTTCATATGAATGGTCATATTAATCAGGAAAAGCACGTAGAACAGTAAAGGCACGCGTGCCGATTTTTAGGCTTCTTAATTTTGCGAGATTTGATGGAGCGCATTCGCGATGAATCGGAGCTGGGAAAGCGAAAAGTGTGAGTGATCGGCGCCAAGATGTCGCGTAATACGGCGCCAACATGTCGCGAAAGACGTCGTAATATGACGGCAGAAGAGAACTGCGTAATGAGCCAACGCAACTTTGCCTACGGTAAAACGATTGAAACGGCATAAAAACAACAAAACAACAAAACTTCTTGCGGACCGGTTGGGAACCACTGCTCTAATGGACCTACCTGACATGTTCCTGCTCGAATGTTGAACATTGACTGTAGTTTCAATCTGTTTTGCAGAATCATTCCCGAAGTTTTGAACAATTTGTACCGACACGTTAGGTATCTGGTATTCTGAATAAAGAATTAAACTAGATCAGAAAAGTTTTGGCTGAAGTCATTATTCCCCTGGACACAGAAAGCATTTCTTCTGTTAAACATATTCACAAGGTGTGAAAATAATGATCTGTAATGAAGCTCCTAAGCCTTTTTATCTTGACTTTAATTCAGTTCTCTATGGACAAGTTTTCTGCCCAAAAATATACTTTTCCATCCAATTTCAAACAGATAAGTCTTTTTAATGGCTGCCTGTGACTTCACTTAGAAATGAGTCTCCTTTACTTCCGAGTCAGTGTGTATACACCACTATATTCTTATATAATTTCAGCAGCTCTCAACAACCAGTAGTGATTGGCCATAACTTTGCTTAAAGATGATTCTACTTTACTCTTGAATGAACAAGTGTGTATGCAACAGCATATCTCTATAAAGCTTCAATAATTCTTGGTGTTTCAGTGGTTGCAACTAATTTACTCTGAGCTTCATTTACTTTGAAGCGAATACATGTGACCTTGCTTCAGACAAATTCTCAAAAAAGACGAAATTTAATTTGTCCCAGTGCTATAAATAACCAAATCTTTGCTTCTGCAAAGAAAATGAGATAAGAGAAACGATACCTTGTCTCTGGTTATTTTTCTGTAGGTGCGGATCATTTTTCATCTTTTTGGCTTCTTGTTGTTGACGTTGGCTCATAGAAGAGTCACCGTAACCTGAACACAAAGTTTGGAAATTCATTTAAGGTAAGGCAAGCCGGAATATCCACCGATGTGCTCTGAGCGACACTGCGCTCTCCAGAAGTATGCGTATCAATATTATGGAGGTAACTAATTTTGTCCATATTTATTTACATCAAGTTGTGTAACGGGACTGGAAGCCTAACCCTAACTACGAAAGTACCAAAACTTGTGGATGTGGCAGAGTGATTCCATTCGTACAACTTGAATTTCAATCGAAGAACTGAATAATCAAAATATTTCGAGTAGAACAATTGGAGAGAAAATAGGAATTTTCTTAATAACAACAGCAACTTAGCAAATTGATTCGTTACAAACTTCATGTCCAATAAAAACTCTTACCTTGTGCTTCATTTTCCAGCTTTCTCTTCAGCTAAAATACAGAAACAAAAATGATAAATTGATTGGAGGAAAAAATAAGAGTGACTAGCAAGTGGTTGTTACCAAGACTGTGGAATTATATTCGAATGCTTATTTTGATATTGGGATTGGATTTAGTGTCGAAAGTCAAAGCAGGAATTTCCAATTCCTTCGAGTCAATTTCAAGCTTTTCAGACAGTCACAACAATGTCAGTTTTGAGGGGTAGCAGCTAACTAGGACCAACCACAGAAATGTGATAAAAAAAGCATTTTTCTGTATCATATATAGCAATTTTCTGTAGCTAAAACAAGTTTTTTTTAATCCAGAGTGTTCAGGTCAGAATTTCCAATAAATTCCTATCACACAATAGCTGAGGAGAGATCTTCTTTTCAACAGCACACAACTAAATTTATAATAAACTTACAGACTGAGCCGCCGCTCTTGCTAGATATCCTGAATCGTTATCATTTGTGTCAACGGATGAAATCTTTTGCCGTGAATCCTGGGAAAACAAGAGAACAATGCTCAAAAATGTGATCGACTAATATTTGAAGCTGAAATGTCATGAAAAATCCCACACAAATGTTAGGAAATCAGATGTGGTTTCCCACTAAATATATAAAAAATGTGAATTGTGAGTGAAATATTGATTGCTCCATTTGTTGTGAAAAAAGTGAATATCCCCAACACATAACTCAGTAAAACACTCCATAGGCCAACTTCTTGCCCATAACATGAGTCTCCAGAAAATACATTATAACTAATGAACAAGCAAAAATATAGTATTTTATTATTTATTGTAACATACATTTCAAGTAGCAATGATGTCAAAAATTGCCTGTAACGAAATTTTTAATACCAGGCCATTCCCACAAGCATTGATTTGGATTAAGTACTTAGAAATTGCAGGAATAACGACTCAATAAAATTAGATCACAATGCCTCGAGGCAAAATAGTTTGACGATGAAAACAATCATCAAGGAAGATAATATATTGACAAATAATTTGAAGATATGCTTCATCGTCAGGGAAGGCCAAAACCAAGTAAGTTGGGCCATACTTTGGCACAAAGAGAAATTGAACATGAACAAGCAAATACCGATCAACATTGATTACAAACTAATGACACTGTTTTCATTAATAATTCTATATTTATTACATGTCTGAAGTTAAATGAAAGGTAGTATTTTTATTTGTCTACCAGATGTTGAAGCTATAAAAAAACCTTTGAGAACTCGCGAGCAAATTAATCATATCAACAAGCTCCTCTCACCTTTGTTTTCATTCCTTTCTTGTTTTTGAGTTCCTGTACTTTTTGCCACAAGAGGGCAGTATCTCGTCTTTCATTAGCGCGTATCGTTTGTTGAGCAGAACTGTAGCGGTCCGCACATTTCTGAAGTTCAAAAGAAAATTTAGTCAGCAAAAATGATCAATGGTTGGGGCGACGTTTATTCAAGATATATTTTGAAAGTTTTTCTAATGTCATGATTATGTAGACAGTTGCCAGATTTACACACTCTGTCACCAAACAATATATGTATTTTTTTATTTGCATTCAATTCAGAAATAGTCATAAAAAAAACTGACACAATAGTAATATTGTTGAAAATCCATTTCCCATTTTCCTAATTATGCAACTTTATCTCAAATCAACAATTATTAATCACGATATTGGAAATCATTATGAGGACATAATTGACATTTCCTTATAGGGAACTCTTAATTGTTTTGTCATAATCCATTAACAAAGTTACGAAACCAATTTGTTTCTTAATTTGTATTTAAACTTAAAATAGAAATGAGCAGTTATGCCCAAACCATACATGGGACAGACATACATAATCAATATACCTAAGGAACATAGCAGACCAATCAAAACTGAGAACAATTATGACATCATAGACAATCAATAAAATTCAAATTTAGAATATTGGTAAATAGGAGAAAGTTTATTTTTCTAAATTGATTATTTGAAATACTATGTGATCTTCCATGTGAGGTAAAATCCACAAGGCCCTTTTGAAAGTGTTTTAGTGTTCGAATACTTCAAAACCTGAATAAACGGTACTCACGAAGTAGGTGAACCAAGATGGCGGACACCGCAATATAGTATGTGTACCAGGTTAGGGTAAGGCCATAATTTTATTACAATTTTATTTATTTTAGTTCTATTGCGAGTTCGGGGACTAGCCAAGTGACTCCCCGTAGTATTTGTAGCTGAAATTATGTTCTAACCCTAATCTTGTACACATACTATGTTCGGGGTCCGCCATCTTGGTTCACATACTTAGGGAGTACCGAATAAACATAATATGACGGGAATACATGTTCTGCATTATTATAGATATCAAATTTAGCTACCAAATATTTAGAGTAAGTTCTAACAGTATTTTTATACAGCTTTTACTTCGAGCAAGGAGTCACTGCTAATTAATCAATCAGCTGCTATATGGCAAATTAAGGTTGGCACTTATGGATTTCTCCTGAAGACATGGAAATTGAGATAGGGGTTTAATTTTACAAATGGCATTTCATACAGACTTCTTCATAAACAATAAAATTATTCCCAGATTATGATTATGCATGGCCAATCATGATTAACTGATCAACCTATAACTTATGTGTGGGCCAAACATGACACATTGATTATCACAATGTTTATTTTTCCATCAGTAAATGATTCAGACTGTCTCCAAATACAGGAAATGTACCAAGGTGATACCATGGACTAGCCAGTGATCCCAAACACAAAATTAAAACATTATTTCAAAATTTTACACTTAATACAAATTTAAATTCTGCAGAATTACTTTGCTAGCATAATAAAACAAAAATTCAACTTATTCCTTCTGAATTTTGCAAAAAAATGTCCAATTTTCAGGACCAAATTTAAATAAAATTCATTGGGAACACAGCTGTAGCTTATTGAGTATTACATTGCATTGTCGACAACCGTGAGAAATTAATCAACCACAGCAGGGTATATAATCAACTTTATTTTGTAAAAGAGTTGATAAAATGGCAAGTTTGGTTATTTTACCGAATAGCAAAATTATTTTAAATGCTTTGAATATATAGTTTGAAATTATTAGGAGCAAATTTCTCGAAATTCTGTAAATGTTAAAGTGACATTTTGGTCCGCAAAACAGGTTTTCCGGCTATTCATGTCATCATTATGACTCATAATCACATTCCCCCACCCATTGTGACATTATTATTGTTCAATTTTATTGATTTACCGGTCTTTGCATAGGCTAAGACATTTATATGAAGGGCAGGCGATTAATAATATTTGAAAATTCAAATCTCTGAAAATGGCTTCAACCAAGAAGCCTAAACACTGATATGTAAGAGGCTATTATGATATTTGAATGGTAACCGAACCATAGGCCGTGGAATTCTTCATGTATTTGATATTCCATTTGGTATATTTGACCTTGGGCACAAAATCTACATTCCGCAATTATGATGACATTATTCTGATCAATCACGCTTCATTTAGTCCTCAAGCAAAAAAAACATCAACAGTGCGATGAAGCATGACAGGCAGCAATGGTAGGTAATTCATAATAGGAATGATACAATTCCGTCCAGTCACACTCCAGTGACTTATATTCAAAACAAAGAATTCTCACCTGTGTATGTTGTCCATAGTTATTGAATCTTTGTTTAATTCGATCCAAGACAAGAGTCCGAGCGTGGGGAGTTGCAAAGGGGGTGGGGCAATCAACTGATGGCATCGTCATGGAGACAGGGTCAAGGGTTATCAACTATATCCAGGAAATGTATTTAAACTTCTCGAAAAGCTTGTAAATAAATATTATCTTTGCAAAGTAATAAAAATTACAAATCTTATTACATCTGTCAAATAAATAAAATAGAAAAACTTAAGTACTAAGAATTTAACAAAAACAACCCTTTGACTAGCTAATCAAGAGATCAATAAGGTATAATATTGCAGCAATGAGATTGCACTATTATGCTGACATAATTCTGCTCGGTCATGGTTTGTTGAATAATATTGGTTTCAGCGAGTCGGTACTCTCCTTTTAAGAAAGAAAAAAAGGGGTTTTCTGTGTCATAAATAGCAATTTTTCGTAGCTTGAAACAAATTTTGGACCCTTGATGTTGACCCTTGACCCACTAGCTGTCCTGGTCTAATTTGGCAATTAGAAAATTCATTTCTGGCTACACCTTTGCTACAGCTAACCACTGATTCTCAAAATGAAGTGTGAAATCATGTCCTAATCTCATCTCTGCCAGAGACTTTAGTCAATACCATTATCAGAGATCATGTAAACATGTTTTGCGAGATGAATTTTGTGAATCATCACTAACAGTTTGTGTGTTGTTTTACTAGACATGAACTCACTAATTATTTGGATAGATTGCTACAGAGGAACTTCGACATCACCCAGTCGATGATAAATCAACTGTATTTTGATTTATTTATTATTCAACACACATTTGTACCTCTGGTTGACAAAATAAATTCCCACTTTGGTAAACTCTTTATCTGATATGTAGGTCCAAATCCTGGACTGTTACCAAGTAAGGCATTGAGCTAGGCAGATGGATGCTTTCTCAATTTTCGCTGATTCGGTCTGTCTTATAACTGAATAACCGAGACAGACACAATCAAAGATGTTGCTGTGTTAATGCAATAATAAAATAGTGTAGCAGGCATCATCAGATGAAGTTAGCATATATTATTTTTGAGCAGTCTCATGATTTTCATTCCCAAAATTTTACGGACAGAATTAGCACACTCACTCTGATTGAGAAGACATTATTCTGTTCAAAACAACATATACTAGACCAGGGCTACTCAACTATTTTCACCAAAGGTCAGTTTACGAAACTTCAAAATGACTGGGGTCTGGACAATACAGAAAATTTATTTCATCAAATAAACGAAAATTCAAATGCAATATTAAATTAAATACAAGAGCAATGAATGGCTCGCAAATATGGACACAAATAATATCGCACATCGGTACCAGTACGACAAGCTGTATAGCTGTGTATTGTATTGTATCAAAATCATTGAAAACTATAAAACGATGCTTATGCTGCCAAAATAAACAAGCAGAGCGGTCAAAATATTATGGTCGAAAGGTATGATCGAACTGAACTTGACCTTCCTTGCACTACATGCTGACATGGGTGTATATGTATTAAACAAACATAATAAATTTATTTCACTCGACGGAATATTGATTAAGTAGTAGACTAGCAAACCCGCTTAGTAAACATTGTTTCAATACCTGTCCTGTAATCGATAAAAAATCTTTAAACGCGCGAGTAAAAGTCACCCATACATTAGGGCGACAATTGCCGTATTGTCGCCATTATTAACGCATCGGTGCGACTTCCAAAAACGTCTGTATTCTAATGCTATAACAGCAGTTGCATCGTGAATAGGAATTATAACACAGTGACGTACACGACGTAAAGTTTTAGAGTATTTTGCGAGCATGCATCATTCGCGGACCGGCAATTCTGTCGTGAATTTAACTTTTGCTTATCCTAAATATTTACCATGGGTTCCTATTTTAATCCACAATATATATCATCATTCCGATTACATAATTTTCTCCAAGTACTCTGTTAGACCGCCCTATCTACTTTTATCGCGAACAAAAATATATTTCCGTATACGTACCAGTCAGCTGAATCTGGATGTTTTACGAAAACAAACGTACTTTTTTTGCAAACACCAATTAGGTTTGAATATATTATTGCCTCTTTAATTAATCCGAAATGTCGCCACCTGCAGCTCTGTTATCTGTGTTTTCCGGTCTTGGCCGAGGACCAATATATTATTGTGGCACAGTAACCTTGCTTAGATCGGTTCATAAATAAATAAACAATTCATGATGACAATTCATATTTCTCGTTTAGAAAATCGCAAGCTAGTACTTCGCCTATCGCAACCCCACCCGCTTTCTTCGTAAACAATTTTAGTCTCACAATATAAGCTTCGCAATTTGTAAATAATCTCTCCTTACGAAAACATCTAATGAAACTGAGGGATCAATTCACCACGGGACACGCTCAAGCATTTGAATAATTAAAGACGTTGTACGTGCGCCGAGACGCGAGTTTCACAATGAACGAGTGGAAAGTCATTTTAATGATCATGCATTTCATAAATACAAACGATAGATCGAAATAAACTATATTACTTAGCGAATTCATTAAAACTTCGTTGGGGCGTTTGATTGTAAATATGATTAAAGATTTATATAATATGTAGACCCTACTACATTTTAGAATAATTATTAAACATATATAGTTGCATAACTTATTATGACGTAAATTTGTGTTACTATGATGACGTATTTTTCCATCACATCACGCTGTATGATGATGTCATATTTCGTAACGACGTAAAAGTTTATATTAATTTCTGCTCCAATGTCACATTCATTGACAATGCAATCAATTTAAAATAATAAATCAATAATACGCGGTTACCTGGCACCTAGCAAAATAGAAGTTAATAGCAGGTATTCTCCCGGGCTAAAAGCTACATCGGCTTAGATTATTTGAAAGTATTCATAGAATTCAAGAATATCGAACTACACTCAGCACTGAATCAGCAGACGAACTCGCGTTTACAGCGCCGTCGGTAAATAATATAATCGCGACAACGAAGTCGATTCATGTTTTATTCAGAAGGAAATCCTAAAACGCGAGGCAAAATATACAATCTTTGTGATAATCAATGACCCGTAACGATTCTGAGCTCAAAATGAACTGCGGTTTGTATCGGTCTGAGATTATAATATCGTTTTGGATCATTTCACTTGAACTTCGTAACCGAAGAATTGTATGTACATCGCGGTCGATGGTGTGAGGTTGAAGTTATACTTCAGGCGTGTAACATTTTCGTCGATGGGCCATGTACCCATCTTCAGATATCTACCTGCCGGGCCACAAAAAAATTAGTTTTCACATGCGGGAAAGGCGAAATAATAGAATGTGGTTATTGCTTAGCCTTGCAGTAATAAATCCACCGGACAAATCGGCAAAAAAAATAAAGCAATGACGAAAGCAAAAATCATTTTGTATCTTTACCCACGTGAGCGACTTCTTAAACATAAACTGTCGGATTCGGATGTTATGAATGTTTACAAGAACCACACTAAATGGCTCGGCTGCTTGGATTGTGGCCCGCGGCCCACCTGTTTCAAACCCCTGTTATACATGCTTCTATTGACATTGAAGTCGAGATCGCAGTCGTCTTTTTAAACTATTCAAAGTCGAGTGTCATGATTTTGGTGATTGTATGGTGACCGTACATTTGAACCCACGTACATTTGAACCCATGTCTATATCCGCGGGTTCAATCAATATGCGGGTGCTGAAACCCATGGGTTAGGGTTAGTATGGGTTAAACTATCCGTACAACAACAAAATTTAGTTTAAAAATTTCCATAGGTGCAATAGTATGCAGGTGCAATTGCCATGGGTTCAAATGTACGTGGGTTCAAATGTAATGGAACCGATCTGTATGTCTACCATTGTTGTGATGTCGGGAAAATTCACACCGGTCTCAGAGCTAATTTTGACAACATTCGATATCTCATGTCAATTTCGGAAATAACGTATGCTCTAATATAACCCTATTTACGTAGGTCTAATTACCTACAACAAACCAAAATAGATACTTTAGTCCCTTTCTCTTCGCCCTCCAAAAAAATCCCTCGAAACAAGATATCTTCCAAAACGAAACATCCGCTATCACATAAATCCGATCGTTATCAGCTGCGTTGGCGACTCTCGATAAAAGTTTACTCTGCAAAGACGAGTTAGTTGATTCATGCTCGACCAAATCCGGTAACAATGCGAGCGCCGTGGTTTGCAACCCCCGGCTTACCTTTACCAAAATAAAGATGAAATACCACAGCTAGTAATTATATTAGCTAGTTATTGTCACGCCGACTCGTACTGTTGACCGAACGTTACATTTTGGTTTAGAATATGCTTTCAAATTGTTTTATCATCTTACCTCTTCATGGTATAAGTATTAAACCCCGTGGCTTTCTGATTGTCACTGGTGACCTGCCTTGCTCAAGAAAATACTTATAAAACATCGAAAGTATAAAATTCGCCCAAAAGTGGTGCAAAGCATTCATCTGATTATCCCGACCCATTATCCAGAAACTCGGTTGATTTGTCTCTCAATGGTTTCGAAATTCGGTGTAATCATAGAGAATGGCCGATTATGAGTGGCGTAATTCATGTCCACGTTATATGATGCTGGATTTTCATTATATTCGTTTCTCCATATGATCAAAAAAATAAATATACTCGTTGTCTCGAACACTTTAACGTTTTTGAAAGGTAAGAACGAAGATTCGACATTTTATATGAACGCGCGATACCGACTAGTCGATGTCACCATTGTAAACAAAGAAGGCGACGAACTCATTGCACCATGAATATTTCGTCATAAAGAGTAATAAACTCGCGGAAGACAGCAAACACGAAACAGACGTTGCGATTTTGACGTCATATACATTTTTTATCGCAATCAATAATGGAATAAACAAACTGAATTGTCACGAAATAAAGCGTGTTGAGCAAACAGAAAGCAATCGTTGTCCACTAAATTCGAAAGGTCACCTAGGTAGGCAAAGTCGCCTTATCGGGCGAAATAATTGGTGGCAGTAAGTTGACCCATTTAGTACCAGACGGCCATGAAGTTAAGCATCTACACTTATTTCACAAGCTATATCTTGTTACGTCTGAAAAGAGACGCGAGTTCATGAACCCCAAGACTCGGACCACATTTGTATGTGGCAGTTGTAACTGCTTATATTTTGAGGTGTCCCCAACTGTCGATGCGCCAATCGCAAGCAGTTGACTTTCGGGATATTCCAGTAAATATCGGCAAAGGTTAACCTCGTCACGGCTTCCTTCAGTAGGCGCGTGTGGGCGTAGCATCGACGACAAATCGCCAGCTCTCGTAAACAAACTACGGTTCGTTATCTTGCACGTACTACAGTAGGCTATGGCCTGGTTCCAATAAACAATGATAAAGGTCAGAATAGTAATAGGAGTGCGTATCCCGAGTTTCGCCCGGAGCAAGTTTGTTATCGCTGGTTTCGTTCAGTGTTGGACACCATGGTAGGCAAGAATAATTCCTGAACTCCTAGTCCAGTGTTGTGGAGACATTGTCAAAGTCATTGTTTGATTCGAGTCACGTGTTTCAAAAAACTCGACTAATCCAAGCGAATACGTGGGTAAATCTTACTAGCGAGACTTTATGCTTTAGTATCAACGTAGCCCATATTTATCAATTTCACTGTTGTTAATGAAATATACGAAGACTCCAAACATCAACGACTAAAATTTGAAAAGAATTTCTGCTACTCGGACTAGACTCGAGGTTTAGGTACTCGTACCAGGTACTAGATGACTCGACCATCAATCTATAAGCCAGATTGTGCCACATATCCGCTCGCAAACTCGCATCTTCGTTAATTCTACAGTTAGGAGAAATGAACATTTATCCCACGGCGAAATGTCGCCAACTACGCAGGTTTAATGAAACACACCATTTTAATCTTGCGCGCGCAAAGCCCTAAACCTTGGATATGCCTACTTTAAAACCAGGAAATCCAAATCCAGAGCATGTGTTGAGGAAAACTCGTATTTTACAGATATCGCTGCCTTCTCGATCGTACTTGAACCTTTCTAAATCATGATCTATTTTTTAGCGAGCGACTTAGCTACCTGCTTTATTCATAGTAAAGCATGCAAAACTGGTAAGAAGCCAAATTGTTCTAGAATCCATCTACTAGAATCCATTTGAAATCCGAATTCGTAACTTCTGAGTCAGCCCGAGAAATTACCCCGATGTGTCATAATATTTTGGCAAACATATGACCAATACAACAACGATTTGCTATAAAAGGAATACTAGATAAATAAACTAACTCTTGCCATAATAACACAAATGTATTCATATAATGAATTCTGAACAAAATCACATTGTTGTAGGCAAGCATAAATAAATTGGAGCTACAGAAGTGTATGCACCAAGACGGCAGACAACCTGAGGTAGTATGTGTACCTGGTTAGTGTTCAGGTTGTGCGCCATCTTGGTGCTCATACTTCGGGAGCGCCAATAAATTTCGGAAATGCCCATGTCCTTTCCTAACTTACAACTTCGTTTGTTCAACTCCATTTACAGTGTAATGACATTTGAATAATCCCTTCCAAACAGCAATTACAGCTACCTAACTATAGATATATTAGCACGATAGAAATATGATGTATCCGTGGCCACTACTACAAATGTATTTCTGTAACCCTCCGTCTGACCAAGGTCAAATTTCCTCAATAATATTTCAACTCAATAAGCTGCCACTGTCTTATGGCATCACAATAATCCTTTTCAAATAAGGCCATCCAAACTGAAATTTGCGCTATCAAATTCATTACATATATACGTACTATGAAGTTAGAAATACGAGGTCCGATTGCTTCTCCAATGACCTTTCCATAGGACTGACCTTGATAAAACTTTCCTAGCTTTCGCCCTGTTCTCTGATATTCTAACTTTTCTTACTGGGCGCTGTCTATTCTGGGTATGACACACCGAATAATTTCTGAGGGAAACGAAGCGAAATGTCGAGAACCAAGTAAAACCCCCATCTAACGATGACTACATTCACGTCACAAACCAGCGCGTATATATTGTTACATAATGTCGCCATTCACTCTCGACGACGATATTTTCCCAGAGCTAATAACAAGGCAATACGACTCGCGCAGTCGTGAGACGGCGTTCCCGTGTCCTATGACGCATTGACAGCGCAGAAAAAGCAATGATTTCAAAAGATATGTCACTGTATATCAAGTAAATAAACCTTCACGCGGTTAGTTCTCGAGAAACAAATTGTGCTAAATTCGCAAAATGTCAAATGTATTAATTTGCACGAATTTCGAGTTTCTAAACGCGTATGTCGAAACTTATTGTGTAAAAACGAATTTTCTCTCTTTTTTTTCTCAAACTTCCCGCATTTCATTGCCTCAATCGAAATGATTTTATCTTATCAATACCGCGAACCATAATTTCATTCATTAAGAAAATTCCCCATTAAAAATAAGGACCTGGCCAGTTTCTGTAGCCAGATCCCGAGTTGTTCGCAAAATAAACAGGTAGATCTGTCGATCAAAACAACAATACCAGGGAAAAACCTGATCAAACTGGTTATAGAATTGAGACGTTACGTTAATTATGTGTGTTTGCGCATTTACTTTTATAAATAAGTTCAAATTTGAATGAAAAACACAAAAATAGATAAATTTTGCGTTGCCATTTCAAGTTAAGCTATTCATCTTTACGTAATCGCAGACAAGCTTCGACGTTCTGTTGTTTGACTTGTGACGAAACAAATACGCGTGTATGTGCACGCGCATCGGCCAGGATCGACGATTAGTTTATTTTAATTAAATCCCCGGATTAAGGGCTCAAAATGAGCTGCAAATTGCCCGAGACATAAATTCGATCGATTACTAATTCGAAGCTCTCATAACCAATGAAGTGCGACTACAAAACCAATTGAAATTATATTATCAAAATTTGTGTAAAAGGTGTGAACGTTTATTTACATAGAATTATTAATTAAAAGCACGTCGATTCAAAGGTTTTGTATTTCGGTGAATTAGTATTCTGGGCATGTGAGCGTGTGTGAAATAACTTAATAATTTTAGGTGAGATAACACGTACCACTTCCTCCTGGCAAAACCTTCCACCTTATATTCTGTACGTTATGAACCTTATCTAACGTTTCGTTTGCTCCCCTGATTTCATAATCAGTTTTTATTTATTTGTTTTTATCTGTCAAGTGTATTGTTACGCTGATTAAGGAGTCGAATAAACTTATACTTATACATTTCAACATTTTACATAATACACTTTTCTGATTTGTAACAACCTTATCACTTATTTTATCTTCTTACGAATAACAAAGAAAACACAAGCACTATACAAGATGACTCAGGTTTTCTATCAAAAGATCAGAATACAACATATTTAGTTGTTGCTGACATGAACATGCTATTTACACCTGTTAAGAACAGCAATACACAATACGTATCACAACTTCGATGAATCCTCGATTTTTGTGACCTTCTCTTCTTCTTGTAAACGAATGTTTTTGCCTACTCAATCTACAAATCGTAATAAAATAAATAAATAACACTAATTGATAGCTGATGATAAATGAAGCACAGCCGGTGTTAGCAAAACGATGTAATTTGCCCACGTTTCGAATTTCTATACAGAAAAACGTCATCAGGGCATGGTATGGAAAGGACACACGAGTTGATATATATAGAGCAAGAAATTTTTTTTTTTTTCTTTTCTTGTATTTATTTATTTATTTTTTTTGTTTACTGTATAGTATACCCTAAATTTATCGCGTCTTATTCTTACTTAAATAAATTCTCAGTGGTTGTGTGTGTGTGGCTGGTGGGTGCATGTGAGCGTGTGTGAAATAACTTAATAATTTTAGGTGAGTAAACACGTACCACTTCCTCTTGGCAAAACCTTTCATCTTATATTTTGTACGTTATAAACCTTATCTAAGGTTTTGTTTGCTCCCCTGATTTCATAATCAGTTTTTATTTATTTGTTTTTATCTGTCAAATGTATTGTTATGCTGATTATGGAGTCGAAATAAACTTATACTTAAACTTATACTTAAGAAAAGAAAAGCTATTCTCATTCCTGCAAAGCTGTGGTGCGTATGATCGAGTATTTTTGAAGACTTTCAGAAAACTTTTTGAGGCAAATAATCAATCTTATGCATTGCGATAGCTGTTCCAAGACGTATAACTAACTAACTATTCTCGTAATACACTTTTATTTTCCTGTTGTCGTCAGCAATACTCGAACATACTTCAGGGGGTCCCCACTGATGATACCCAAGTCCATGCACGCGGAACAAATACCGGTAACTAGTTATGTATTCCGAAACCCCACAGGAACTGCTAAACCAGTAACCGGGCGATAGGCTGAAATTCGCCATAGTATCAAGATTTCCTCTACCTACAACCAAATATGAAAATCCTACGCTAATGCTGAAATTGTGTATTAAAAACCTTCGCTTGGCCTCATTACACACATTCACTTGCTCTACAACACAATTCTTCTTCAAGCGACGACAACACGCCGTCGTCTGCTGATCGTATCCTGCGGCGACAACAGTTTTTATGATGTGATAATGCATCGTATTGTGACGTCCGTTCGCTCCCGCACGGTTGGCTGAAGCTTGTAACCACAGGATAACGGTATGACGTGAGCCTTTGTTCGCGAGGGAAAGGCGATAATTTTTCTTTCGGCAAAGCTTGTTCTACTGATTGAGTTGCGTATTTAAATTTGTCATTCATCTACCAACTAAACATGATAGAAAGAAGATTTCGCGTAAGTACGCACGGCAAATTTTTAACGAAAAACATTACCGCATATTCGACGAGAACGAACGTACATTGAATACACTCGGGAATACCATATTATTCCCCTTTTAAAAAATTAATAACTCTGTTGAAATTACAAAAGGATGTATTAACGTCACATTTCTGTATACATTTTTTCGTTCGACTTTGAAATAACCCTCGTAATTCAATGTCGGGCGTAGTTGTTGACTTTTAATGGTGCTATCATTTTATTGTTCACTATTAATCTGTGTTATAATATAAAATGGTAGCGGGTAATAATCCTACTCAACTTCTTATGAAGGGTTTCGCCAGCGAGCGTGCTATTTAGTTATTACCACTAGAATTCTCATTTGTTTATTTGAATATAGTTCACTCCTGTTTAGGTTTCTACACCTTTCCTTGTGTTATCTGACATTTAGTATTCTTTAAGAAAATAAGATGGACTTGAAACGTGTCATTTAGTATTGCTGGTGGAGTAAATTCTATCCACGCTTTTTCGTCGATATTATAGTTTTAAAACGGACGAGCGTTTTTCGAGCAGACGTTTCACTGCCAATCAAGTGCAAAGTTTCTTTTCTTCTTGTAGAATAAGATAATGTGGCACAGCCAGTCAGTCCTCTTGCTATATTTCTAATTTGTACTTCATATAAAGCATGTAAACATTCATTAACAATTAGCAGGTTACTAAAGCTTTAAAGGTGACACTACAGCAGCCCAACGCATTGGCATCTAGGACAGGATAGGATTTACATATCTACACAAGTGCGCCGCAATTCTTTTTGCAGTACAGTATTTTTGGTACTCCCGTAGTGTGTGTGATAATTTTATTCCAATTCTGTTTTTAGGTCTATCACGAGTTCGGGGACTGTCTGTGCTAGCCAAGTGATCCGGACCTAGCTTTGAAATAACGGGTATGGCAATATAGCTCTCATAGATTTCCAGATATCGGAAGTTTATTCCCTGGAAAAGTTGAACCTGTTTAATTGAACTGCTATGCCTGAATTCGGGTAGAGTTAACCCAAAACGACTACGGTACTTGGACAAAAAGTCTAAACATTGCTTCGCTTGTCCTTCCCCCCACACATTTTGAATCTATTGATTTCAATGTTTTTAGTTATTAAAGATGAAAGAAATCAGCAGGACGCTATTACTATATTTCCTATAAAACCCAACATTTTATCACAAATTTTGCTTTACTGTTACTTAAAATAATGAAAGCAATTTTACAGTGTTTCACCGAAAATAGGACCTAGCCTGAATTTTGAGAATGATTTTCATAAATAAATAAAGACCTTATCAATAGCGCGATTTTTTTTTTTGACCTAGTTGATAGCAAGAAATCTCTTCTACACATTTTAAATGATTAATTTAAAACGTGTGAGAGGGGAAAACGGGTTATTTAAGTAAATGGATATCAGTTTTCATATTTTGTATAACTGGAAATTTTGTAATTCTCTACTTTGTAATTTTGATAAATTAAAAACAAAGACATCCCCCAAAAATAAGTTCTAGTGTTATGTTTCGAAAGAAAATTGAAAGTCTTATTTTCAGGGAAACCCGATATATGATCTTGGATAAGGATGTCCTTATCGTCTCTGTTTAGCGTTGTATTCAAATCGGTTTTTCCAATTCAGTTAATCACAATTCAGAAGGTTGCGAAATGATTTTTTCTGTGTTATTCTAGAATAGTTTGGTAAATACTGACATCCTTAACCTTCACATTCTCTTACACACAGGGTGGCAAAGACTGGTTTGTATTTATCGAATAGGAGCATTGCTCTCTTGTATTAAAACCAGTGTACTGAATATCAAACTACAACACCCACACTGAGCTGCACGGGGCTGTTGCAATTTGGTAAGAGGGTTGTGGATGAATAAATATTAATAAAAACGATGTTGGGCTGCCACCAAGTGGCCATCTAAATATTTGGTTTTTGAAAACTAAACAGAGGGAACTGTGACAGACATCATTTGAATGTTCAATGTGCAGAAAGTTTAAGCTTCTCGGTGCCATTTAATATTTTTATAATTCGAGGGTACAAAAATGTTGACAGCGCTATCAAGTGGTTTATTTAAAGACAACAGTATCAATCATGGCTCCGAGGCACTGCGTTATGTTATTTGTCATCAAAGTATCGACTTTTTCTTCCAAATGACGTTTTGGATCTTGTTTTCCAACATTTTTTATCGCAAGTTGTTCCGGCGTCATCTTTTCTTCTTCTTCGAGAGCCTGAAAGTGAGGGAATTTGTGAAAAAATTATTTTGTGCGTTATTTCCAAAACTAAGTGTAAAATTTTTTTGGATTTGTGTGCACAGCTTTTTCACCAACTTGGCATTACTTGAAAAATATATATGTACATCTCATATGTACATTGATTACAAAGAATTCAGACTGCACAAAATCTAAGGGCATGAGTAGTGTGTATCACCAGCTAATGAACTAAATAATTATAAGATATAAAAATATAAAAAAAAATAGAAATCGAAAATAAGCAAAAATGTTTGGGAAACACTGGTTGGTCTATTGCATCAAAGCTTTGGGCACAACTATATTACATTGCAGGTAAGATCTCGTATTCGAATACCATGTCCACCACATGCACATACAGGGAGTAAGCAATTTATACAAGTAGATGTAATACAACCAAATACACTTTTCCTATTTTAATACAACCAAACATCCAATTCCCATTTTAATACAACCAAACATCCAATTCCACTGTTAATACAACCAAATATCTAATCCCGTTCTTAATACAAGTAAACATCCAATTCCCATATTAATACAACCAAACATCCCAATTCTCATATTAATACAACCGAATATCCCAATTCTCATATTAATACAACCAAATATCCCAATTCTCATATTAATACAACCGAATATCCAATTCCCATCTTAATACAACCAAATGTCTCAATTCCCATATTAGTACAACCAAACATCCCGAATCCTATCTTAATACAACCAAACATCCCATTCCCATCTTAATACAACCAAACATCCCAATTCTCATATTAATACAACCAAATATCCCAATCCCATCTTAATACAACCAAACATCCCAATTCTCATATTAATACAACCAAATATCCCAATCCCATCTTAATACAACCAAATATCCCGATTCCTATCTTAATACAACCAAATATCCCGAATCCTATCTTAATACAACCAAACATCCCAATTCTCATATTAATACAACCAACGATCCCGAATCCTATCTTAATACAACCAAATATCCCAATTCCCATATTAATACAACCAAACATCCCAATTCTCATATTAGTACAACCAAACATCCCAATTCCCATCTTAATACAACCAAATGTCTCAATTCCCATATGAGTACAACCAAACATCCCGAATCCTATCTTAATACAGCCAAATATCTAATCCCGTTCTTAATACAAGTAAACATCCAATTCCCATATTAATACAACCAAATATCCCAATTCTCATATTAATACAACCAAACATCCCAATTCCCATCTTAATACAACCAAATGTCTCAATTCCCATATTAATACAACCAAACATCCCAATTCTCATATTAATACAACCAAACATCCCAATTCCCATCTTAATACAACCAAATGTCTCAATTCCCATATTAGTACAACCAAACATCCCGAATCCTATCTTAATACAACCAAACATCCCATTCCCATCTTAATACAACCAAACATCCCAATTCTCATATTAGTACAACCAAATATCCCGAATCCTATCCTAATACAACCAAACATCCAATTCCAATGTTCCCTCTAATTTTTTGTAGTATGTGTGCGCAGAAATTTTAGTGTGTGCGCACTTTTTTGGAAATGACTGATATTTGTGCAAAAACCAATGAAGAAATTTCGGCGTTCTAACCGGGTAATAAGTGGGTCAACAACAAACTTTCTCAACCTGCCAACCGAGCACATTGTTACATTACATCGAAATAGGTTTGTGCGCAGTAAATCTATTCGTGTGCGCACCCTCTGAAAGCTGTGTGCGCGCGCACACGCGCACACCTTAGAGGGAACACTGTCCAATTCCCATCTTAATACAACCAACGATCCAATTCCCTTGTTAATACAACCAAACATCCCAATTCTCATATTAGTACAACCAAACATCCCGAATCCTATCTTAATACAACCAAACATCCCATTCCCATATTAATACAACCAAACACCCCAATTCTCATATTAATACAACCAAATATCCCAATCCCATCTTAATACAACCAAACATCCAATTCTCATATTAATACAACCAAACATCCAATTCCACTGTTAATACAACCAAATATCTAATCCCGTTCTTAATACAAGTAAAACATCCAATTCCCATATTAATACAACCAAATATCCAATTCCCATCTTAATACAACCAAACATCCCAATTCTCATATTAATACAACCAAATATCCCAATCCCATCTTAATACAACCAAACATCCCATTCCCATATTAATACAACCAAACACCCCAATTCTCATATTAATACAACCAAATATCCCAATCCCATCTTAATACAACCAAACATCCCAATTCTCATATTAATACAACCAAACATCCCAATTCCCATCTTAATACAACCAAATATCCAATTCCCATTTAATACAACCAAACATCCAATTCCCATTTAATACAACCAAATATCCAATTCCCATTTAATACAACCAAACATCCAATTCCCATCTTAATACAACCAAACATCCCAATTCTCATATTAATACAACCAAATATCCCAATCCCATCTTAATACAACCAAACATCCCAATTCTCATATTAGTACAACCAAACATCTAATCCCGTTCTTAATACAAGTAAAACATCCAATTCCCATATTAATACAACCAAATATCCCAATCCCATCTTAATACAACAAAATATCCCAAATCCCATATTAATACAACCAAACATCCAATTCCACTGTTAATACAACCAAATATCTAATCCCGTTCTTAATACAAGTAAAACATCCAATTCCCATATTAATACAACCAAATATCCAATTCCCATCTTAATACAACCAAACATCCCAATTCTCATATTAATACAACCAAATATCCCAATCCCATCTTAATACAACCAAACATCCCATTCCCATATTAATACAACCAAACACCCCAATTCTCATATTAATACAACCAAATATCCCAATCCCATCTTAATACAACCAAACATCCCAATTCTCATATTAATACAACCAAATATCCCAATCCCATCTTAATACAACCAAACATCCCAATTCTCTTATTAATACAACCAAACATCCCAATTCTCTTATTAATACAACCAAACATCCCAATTCTCATATTAATACAACCAAATATCCCAATCCCATCTTAATACAACCAAACATCCCAATTCCCATCTTAATACAACCAAATATCCAATTCCCATTTAATACAACCAAACATCCAATTCCCATTTAATACAACCAAATATCCAATTCCCATTTAATACAACCAAACATCCAATTCCCATCTTAATACAACCAAACATCCCAATTCTCATATTAATACAACCAAATATCCCAATCCCATCTTAATACAACCAAACATCCAATTCCCATTTAATACAACCAAATATCCAATTCCCATTTAATACAACCAAATATCCAATTCCCATTTAATACAACCAAATATCCAATTCCCATTTAATACAACCAAACATCCCAATTCCCATCTTAATACAACCAAATATCCAATTCCCATTTAATACAACCAAACATCCAATTCCCATCTTAATACAACCAAACATCCCAATTCTCATATTAATACAACCAAATATCCCAATCCCATCTTAATACAACCAAACATCCAATTCCCATTTAATACAACCAAATATCCAATTCCCATTTAATACAACCGAACATCCCAATTCTCATATTAGTACAACCAAACATCTAATCCCGTTCTTAATACAAGTAAAACATCCAATTCCCATATTAATACAACCAAATATCCCAATCCCATCTTAATACAACAAAATATCCCAAATCCCATTTTAATACAACCAAAAACCACTTCTAATACAACCAAACATCCAATTCCCATCTTAATACAACCAAATACCTTTTTATAATTTTTGGCCAACTGCAGCATATTAGTGACGGTATCTTCATTCACTTTACAATGCTCGCTGTAATCTGTCAAAGTCAGGCCATCGATCCAACTAGAAAACAAAGGATTTATTTTATTTTCCATGAATGAAATGAGAAGTCAAAACAGAGAAATACACCAGACTTCATGTCATTTAAAAACTACACAAACTCAGCATTAACACAGATTATATGTTTGTCTCAAGGCCACAGCAAGGTTGAGAAAATATTTTGACATCAACTTTGGCTCAGAATTACAAATAAAAATTGATAACAGGGACAAGATTTCTTCAATTATTTGTAGAGAATGCTTAGTTATTTTGATGCTCTTTAGAGTTGGTCTGATGTTTGATTACCACCATTTAAAGCAGGGGTGTGCAACCTTTAATACAGGAAGGCCAGATACCAATAACTGACTGAAATTGCGAGTCACATCTTTGTTTAACATAGGCTTTCTCGTAGTTGCAGTTACAAAAGTTTTCGAGCCAGCAGACATTGAACCTCATAGGCATCATGTATACACTTTGCAACGTGAATTAACTCGCGTGAATGTCAGATTAAACTAAATTAAAAACTGGCGTCGCAGGCCGCACACCATTCAAAATTGACACTGCGGGCCGCACAATTTTTCCTTGTGGGCTGCAGGTTGCACACCACTGATTTAAAGCACAAAATTTCGACCCCGAAAAATTTGAAATTCCAGCAAGAACCTTCTTTTATGCAGGTTAAGCAGCATTTTCTGTTCAAGTTCATTCTTTCTGTAGTTGATGGCAATCGAGTAGTAATGTCTGTTCAAACCGTGAATCAAAGCCTGGAAAAGATTTCAAGATGTTTCAAAACAGGGAATATTTTACTATTTCAGATACATTCTGGAGAATTAGGAGTGTCGTGCACATATTTCATTCTCCAATGTTTTGGCTGATCCTGAGTGTAACGTTATTGGCCCACCTAACCTAAATACAACTTGTATTTTCCAATCATTTTCTAGCTGTTATTTCCAATAATTAAATATAGAAAGATAATAATCAGTACATTCCTAATACTTAAGTACAACGCACCTTCCACAGTGTGAAATTTATTACCTGTATGGAAGGCTTCTGTAAATGTCCAAGGTTAGACGTTGTCTGCCGAGGTTCGTGGCCCAAGACCATCATGTTGGGGTTGATCAGTCGGAAAGCATCGATGACAACCTGGAAAGAAAAAGCTCAATCAAACTGAGAATTATTGGAATTACCAGACTATTCCTGCTACTCCAGTATTGTGTGTACCAGGTTAGGGTTAGGCCATAATTTTATTCCGATTTTCCTTATTTTAGTTCTATTGCGGGTTCTGTGTTAGCCAAGTGAATATATCCCCTGCCTTTAGGTTTCAGTCCCTTTACACAACTTGATGTAAAATAAGCAAACAAAATTAGTTACCTCCGTATTGGTACACACACTTCTGGAGCGTCCTATTTCGCTACAGACCACTTTATGGAAAACAAATTGCAGTACTTCTGTACTTGGTATTAGTTTTAAATGAATGTAATAATTTATGTGAATATCCACAAAACTAACATGGAAATATGTCTTACAGTTGAAGAATTGAAAAATGAAACTAAATTTACTTGTACCAATTTATTGGAGAATAATAATTGGTGAAAGTCTTAGCTAATGACTACCAGAGAATCGCCCACCCATGGCCCCTAGAGCCCAGCTTGAGAGACCGTGGTCTGATTGCTTTCCTGTACCGAGCGTTATTTGAAGCAACAGTGAAGAAAACAATTATATTTTAGACCAGGGGTTAACAAACCAGGGGTCGCGACCCCAATTTGGGTTTGAGTGATAAGTAGGTAGGGTCGCAAACAGGTCATGGGGTCGCTGAGGTATGGTAGAGGATGGATGTACAAAGCATCTAAAATTTGACAAACCAAGTTAAATTTAGCAGTTTGTAGTCCATGGCTTACTTTAAAACAGGAACATAGGCATCGCTCTATGCTTATTCTATAGAAAATGTAGGCGCTTGTTTGGTTTTAGCTTATTTTACTTAATACCACGACATGACCAAACTCAAAAGTCCAGTGAAACAAGCTCTAGAGTTTCATGAAATATATATATATATATATTGACCTGGGGTCGCACTGGAAACTTGAAAGATGTATTTGGGGTCGTCCTGAAAAAAACTTGGGAATCCCTGTTCTAGACATTTATAATGACAAGACTAACCTTTCCTTTAACGCTCTGAATCGGATCGACCACGACGGCAACAGCTCGTTCGGACAACGCTTCGAAACTTTGTTGGGTGTTGATATCCACACCAGATAGCCAGCAACCGAAGCCAGGATGGGAATGGTACCAACCTACCACCATTTCAGGCCTGTATTAAAAAAAAATTTTTATTAGTCATTTCAACACATTTATTAAAACCAAAACACACTGCATAAGAAGCATCAAGCGGTCAAACATGTTTGTTTCAAAAGTCCATGCGTTTGAAACGAATGACCAGCCAACTAGGCCTCAGTATGAACTGGTAACCAGACGAAAGTCCTTGGTTCGCCATATGATAGAGAAAGAAAGAAATTTTTTTTTTCGTTAAACCAGAAAACATATAAAATATATATGATAGCAAAATGGGAAAAATTAAGTTTTAGATGACTGGGTGGTATCGATACAACCATTCACAGTCATCTGAGTCAGATACCAGTGCTACCAAAAATCATTTTCTGGGCTTCCCACTCCCAAAAGGATAAATATAGAAATCCTGTTATTCTATTATCATCACGAAGCAAACAAAATTCTCCACACTTTCCTAAGTAGGCTGACACAACTAATATCAGCATACCTTCCAGTCTGTTTCAGCATGTCCAACATCTTGGCTTGAAACACCGGATCCACAGCTTCAACACTGACTCCAGTGCCAGACTGAGGCATTGCAAACACATCAATCACTCTGACCTGTTAAAAAGGATAAAATTTATAATCAGCCCTGACTTGTTCCGAGTTTTTATGAGGTGTTTTACTCCATCTTAACATCATACAAGCAAGCATTGTAAGCTTTTAGAAGAAGGCTTGGCAGTTTACACATCATGCTCATAGTTAGAAATATGCCTTCTATTGCACCTCCAAGTACCCGTCGCGAGTTCAAATTCTGTGTGAATGAACACTTCTTTTGACAACACTTTTCATCTAAAATTTGTACGTTCAAACCCTCACTTATTTATTATTTTGTTCACTTTCCTGATTTGCTAATCATATTTATTTTGTTTTCATTAATTCTTTTATTGCTTTTTATGCTGATTTATGAAGTCGTAATGAATTTATACCTAAATAGGGATAATTATATGCAGAGAAGATCGCTGGATTCCTTGTGTCTTCCGGTGTCATAGGGTAACTGAGTCTTGTTTGAAGTGAAAGGTGTATAAAAATACAGATATTCATTACAATCTTCAGTCAGTATTGAGTACAAACAATATCTCACCGTATAATCATCAACAAATTCTCCGAGCATCAAACCCATGACTTCCATTGGTACGCCAGCCCTGCCATGTTTCAACATCTGAAAAGATAAATTTATGTTAGTCTGTAAGTTGCATAAAGAGCCTGCAGAGGTTTATCCAGAAATTTGATTTATCTAACATTGTTTATGCTGTAACTTCATTGTTTTTGAGGGAACTTTGGAAGGGTAAGTGGCTAGTGTTGGATTCAGTGACCAATATACCTTCTTAGATTTTTCAACATTGATTAGGTTATTGAAATTAATCATTGCAAATTTAATACTTATCGCAAAGTGGGAAGCCAACCTAGTTTTTTTTTAATGAATACAAAAATATGATTAATTTATTCTGACTATATTATTATTCTAACTTTATTTTACATTTTACACTCACAGACCTAAGAGAGAAATTGAGCAATATAACTACAAATGAGTTTCAAACCATGAGACATAAAAAAAAGACATTTTATTTTGATCTACACCATGATAAAAAGAAGTATGATACACAAGACGAACATAGAAAATTTTGAAAACTGGCGTTTAAAACACAAGAAATAAAAAACACCAATCACAATTTCTCACCTTTAATAAAGCTAACGATGAAATATAAACTTGTTCTGCTGTGTCAACCATGGGAGCATCAGACTGGGGTTGTTGTCCAAATCCCTGAAGTCCCCCACCCGCTCCTAATCTCATTAACCTATCCATTTTTATATTTTAAATGTGAGCTGAAATGTGAGAAACAGCTTGTAGTTTCTTCATTCAAGAGTCAGGGATATGAGAATTTCAAACAAATTAATATAGTCTAACTGTATAAGATAGATACTTTTGAAAACTCCATAATACAGATAATTATGTAAATCCTTCCTTCCTAAATACACTAATTAAAATGGAGAATTCTGCAGAGCAAGTAAAACCCCTAAAACAGCAAAAAAGTGAAAGTACCATGCTTCTGCTCACCAGCACACCTACAAAAAACACTTAAGCTTTCTGTAACCATTCAGCTAGCAGGCTATTTTTTAATTTTAACTAGGCTATTATTCTATCACCTTTCATGCTAATCAAAATAAACTCCTATTATCATAAAAAATAAATTCCATAATTCAGATACCGCACTACTGTACTATACAACATTTTGATATTGCTATTTTCGAGTAATTTTTTTCACTTGTCAAGGAAAATTTCATTTCAACATAAATCCTTTACTAGTACTAGTATTTTACAAATATAAACACTAAGACGAGAAAGAAGTACGGGTATGCCTGATACCCAATATAGTATATTCAAAAATAATAGAAAGACAGAGTTTTAGAGTCAGTAATCAATTTTAATTTTTTTTTCAACAATTATTTTATCGTTGTTGTACAGTCAGACAGCTGTAGGCTTCTGATTTGAAATAAAACTTATACTTCAAAACTTACAGACTTAATGAATACAAGTGCCTTGCCAGGTCCCGTCCATAATGCCAAGGTTATCCAGATATTTTACTGAGGCATACCCTTACTACAAAAGCCTGAAACTCGCAAACTCTCCACTCGCAGACCTGTGTTGGGCATCAACAGGTAAAACGAAATTCAGGCACACACGATAATCATGACTAGTGTAAACGATATTTGCTTATTCATGGTATTCATTGATGCGTAACATAATTGAGTTGTAGCACGAGTCGAACACACAGAAACTATTTGGAAATAAGACACTACTTCTCACACGCAAGAAGTTGAAATTAATAAACATCAAAAAATGGTGATAGTGTATTGTTATTACTGTTCTTACTTACATTAAGAAGAGGAAGTATTTTTTTTTTCGGGTAATCAAAATTAACCCACACCTAGATAGAAAGTTAGTTTATTTCGAAAACTCCACAATATGATAATACAAAAAAAATTAAAAATGGAGAATTCGAGCAAAACCTTTAAAAAAATTTAAAACATGATGAGTATCATGTGCCCGTTCATCAAGACGCACTTATAACAAACGCACTTATACCAAATATATGCGCCACTTGATCGTTAAATGACAATTTTTAACGACTGCCGTTGAAGTAAGATACTTGTACGTTATTAGTAAAAACGCGATATTCAATCATTTACAATTTGGATTATTTCGTTGAAAATTTTACAATTAAAATTTTCGCCGTCATGCTACCCTATTCAAACGGCGCCCATGGAACGAGCAATGGCTCCCATACCCCAGACACGCCACAGTATATTCCAATGGCTCCGTGACGCACTGACTTCGAAATAAAGAAATAAGAGCCATGAAGGCGGCGGTTGTTCAGCAACCTGACTATTCCAAGGATTGTCTACTCCAGCGTTTCACAAACTTTTTCGGCCACGGAACACTCACAATTTTTATCTCGCCTCGCGGAACACCAAAAAATGTAAAAGTAAAGTAAAAGTAAAATGGATAAAGAAAAATGTTGTAGGCCTAATGTATATAGCGGTTCCCAATGGGTTCTCGTGGCGAGTTGCCAAATGGGCCGCGAAAACTAACAGAATTGAGCTAAACATACCTAAAATACGATTGAATATTTTACAAATTGCATATATATATATTATAAATGTTTTATTGTTTCTTAATTTAAATTAACGTAGTGTTTGCCCTTAATGTTACGTCTAATGGTGATAAAGGTGCTTGCCGCAATTTCGCGAGCGGCAAACCTGCAGTTTATTTATCTACTGAATAGAGTTTAGCAATTTCTTCAGCATTTCAAAGTAAAACCAGGCAGATATGGAGGAAGAAGAGTTGATCTTATGTCTTTATTCGGTGCTCCCGAAGTATGCGAACCAAGATGGCGGACATCGGAACGTAACATGGGTAACAGGTTAGGGTTAGGCGATGATTTTTTTCCAATTTTCCTTATTTTAGTCCTATTATCAGTTCGAAGACTAGCCAAGAGCCTCCCGTAGTATTTATACCTAAAATTATGGCCTAACCCAAACCTAGTACACATATTACATTCCGATGTCCGCCATCTTGGTTCGCATACTTCGGGAGCCCCCTTTATTCTTTAGACCTACTTGTTTGCATTTAGCAAAATCAGCAGCATAGCTGTAATGAACCTATCAGTCAACAAGCTAGACCGACGGTTAATGAAAATGCCACTACCCCACCCTATAGTTAGTCACTTTAGGCCGACGATGACGCGATATCGAACGGTCAGTTGGGCGACAACTTCAGGTTCCATAGATCGCCATGGCGGAAGAGTTAAATGATATGTTGTTTTGAACATTTATCTAATGTTACGTTTTCTTTCTTTACTATTCACATCGGAATATATCCTATGCAAACTGACTCACTACTCTGAAACGGGGAGAGAAATTGTTCTCTCTCTTGTGTATTTCTCAAATCTATCTCATCCAAGGAACTATTTGTAGATTAATCAACAAATGAGGTTTTAGAATGCTAGTCCCCCTCTTGTCCTGACGTTCAAACCAGATATCGCTAGGACAGCAAATATTGAAATATAATCTTTATAAGTTTATTTTTGACTCCACAGCTAGCATAAAAGACGATAAAATTATTGAAAAAAAAATAAATAAATAAATAAAACTGATTACAGAATTAGGGAACATATTTTGTATATTTTAAGCTTGTTGAAAGCAACACAGAAAACTAAAAACACAATCTCGATTTCTTAAATCAACCATTTGAAAATAAAGCAGGTATGCATAGTTTAGATTAGTTGATGAAGGTTGCATAAACAATAGAGCCATTTGTGAAAATAAGCATGACTGGGCTAACCGTATATATGAACAGAAAGCCAGGACATTGCGAATTGAACAAACATTTATTCGATTCCAAGGCTTAGTGCTAACCAACTCATATTAATAATACTGAAATCATTGGGACACATGCAATTTCTTTTCTGCATTTTGAATAATTTAAGGGTGGTACAGCTATCGCTAGATGTCAAATTGTCATATTAATACAACCAAATAATCCAATTCCCATCTTCATACAACCAAACAAGCCATTCCTTCCTAATACAACCAAATATCCAGTTGCCGTCTTAATACAACCAAACATCCCAATCTCATCTTAATACAACCAAATATCCGATACCATCTTAATACAACCAAATATCCCAATTCCAATCTTAATACAACCAAACAATACAATTCATCTTAATACAACCAAACATCCCTATCCATCCTAATGCAACGAAATATCCCTATTCATCTTAATACAACCAAATTTCGCAATTATTATCTTTTATGACCAAATATTTCAATTCCCTTCTTAATACAACCAAATGTCTCATTCACATTCTAATACAACCTAATATATCCATTTCAATCTTAATACAACCAAATATCCCTTTCCCATCTTATTACAACCAAATCTCCCATTTTCCTCTTAATACAACTAAATACACCTTTCCCATCTTAATATAATCAAACGCCCCCATCCCATCTTAATACAACCAAATATCCCATTCCATCTGTAATACAACCGAATAATCCTATTCCCATCTTTATACAACCGAACTTCCAATTCTCTTCTTAATACAACCAAACACCCCGTCATATCTTAATACAACCAAATACCCTCTACCCATCTTATTACAACCAAACATCCTGGTCCTATCGTAATACAATCAAATAGAATTACTCAAAGATGAGCTGGGTATGGAGTTTTGTGTACTGAGTACCTTTAACTAATGCTTGCAATGAATCAAATATCAGGTGCCTGTCGGTGTCAGCGCTATAGTTTGTTGTTCTAACAATTGGCATTGTTTAGTGTGGCGTGTCTAAGGTGTGTCGCATTGGTCTCGCAACCTGCTCTTAAATAAGTTTAGTCGAGGTTCATTTTACCGATATTCTTTTTGCGTTCAACTGACTTTCCGATCCAAACTTGGCACTTGAAATAATGCATGCCGTCATATCGGTCTCTTTTTCTCGTTTTAAATCAATATTATTAGCTGAGAATGATGCTTAGAAGCTGAAGCCACTAAAATTTCTGGTAGCTCTGGCACCATCTAACATGGCAAGCTTTTTCTTCACCAAAATGTCCCAGCTCCATGGCTCCGACTACAGCTACCCAGTCCTGATAATGTGAGTTTCCCAACAACAACATTGCAACAATGTTCACCCTGTATCCGTTCACAAGTTCAAATCCTGTGGGATACGATTACGTGAAAGTAGATTGCCAGTCCATATGATCAAGCCGTATCCCAACGATAAAGATAAAAAAAAATTAATCTTTTATTTGATTGAGCTTTTGCAAAAAGTATCCTTCAGACAACAGAATAATGTCATTAACAGGGGTGGGCATGGTTTTTTGATCAGGGGCCTAACATTGTGCCCACCTAGACTGGCGGGCCATGTAAGTGTTACATACAAAGTTACATTTTATGAACAATATATACAGGATTTTAAAAGCAAAACGGGAAAACAATAAGCCTCGTTTCAGAGATAAATTTAATCGCAATCTCAACAAATTCCCTGATTTATTTTTCAGCTCAAACCTCAAAATTTGACTATGACTCAGTTGGTTGTGGCAACATCAGGCGGGCTGAATTTGAACCGCGGGCCATATCTTGCCCATGTCAGTCAAATAATCTACATGTTATTACCAAACATGCATGGGCATAATAAACACAATTTGTGTTCGTCAGCCGAGTAAAATAAATTTCGATGTGGCAGATAAAGAAATGACGTCTATGCCCATGAAAACAAAACCTGGCTTACTAATACCAAATCCAACATGGACTGACTACCGGACTAGACCCGTGGTTCGTCACATGTTTAAGCCGTCTTATCGGTTTTCCTTTCCCCCGG